AGTCGCTGTTAAAGGGGACATCATGATGAAGGGATCAAAGGTGAATGCAACTGCAAAGGCACGAGTGTTTACGAAAGAAGAATGCATTGAGGGGTACGAGACCCGAGAGGTGTTGGGTGTAAAGATGCCGAGGAGAAGCGAGAGGCATAAGAAAAACTCTCAAGGTTTGGATGTCAAGGCGCTCAACTACAAGACACGTAAGCAGAGGTTCAAGGTGCAGGAGCTGCAGGGGAGCATGAAGCCAACTTAGACCCTATGAAGGCTACAAGGAGAAGGGGAGCAGTGCGAGAGGTGTTCGTGGTTGACAAACCACAGGGGAGATTGTTAGGATTGGTTCGCCCAACCACGGAACCTAAGGCGAAAGCATCTACGACGGCGGAATGACGGCGAAATGGAAGCGCGTGTGTGAAACGGTGGAAATCGGCCTACGGTGGGGAATAGAGGCTACGGCATGAGAAGCGGGAGAGAAATCCAGAAGAAACGTGCTAGAAGGAGGGAGAGAGAAGGAGAAGCATCGAGAATGAGATTGACGAGGGGAAAAATATGCTTCGAGACCAAGGCGCGTTCGAGAAAGTTCGGGATTCGGACTTGCGGAGTATTCACTGAATTCGGTTCGGTTGCGTGTGCGACTCGGGGTGAAACGAGACGCACGCGGTTACTTGGGAAACAAGTGAAGTTACGAATCGCATTTTGTGTCTTGCCTGACTAGAAAACTGCTTGTACTCATTCTGAAAATCGTACCAATAAGATTCTGAAAATTGCTGAAGTGTGTACCGTCATACCCCGGATAGAAGCGCCACCCGCGGATAAGCGCCTGGCGCTTTTAATTGGCGTGTGGCGCTTATATCCGGTGCTCGATTATAAGCGCATACCTAAAAGGCTTACAGATTATAACCGAATACCTATACCGAACACATTATAACCGCCACCCTGGTTTTTTGTTGGTTTTATAATTTGAAGTCATTTTATACATTTTATCCACTAGCATATCATGTTAGTTAATCTACAACTAGTTTATCTACTTCTAGTTAATCTAATTCTACCTACGAGCCTCACACTGGCTTCACCATTTTCTAGAATTCTACCCCACTCTAATCATCAGGTACAGTGGGGTCATCTGGGTCTGCCTCAGAGTCCGACTCAGGTTCCTCTACGTTGTTGCAGAAGAAACCGTCTGCTGCAATTTCATCATCCATGTCAACCTCCTCGCCCTCGAGCTCGTCTCGCCTGTGTTGCAGGCAGAGCTTGTCCTGGGACCCATCCAGGGCGTTGCTGATGCCGCAGGTGAGGAACGCTCGTTGAATGAGCTCCTTGGGCACGGACTTCCAGGCCGCCGAGATCCACTTGAGTGTCAGCTCGACAGGAGGCTTCTTGATGTTGCCTGCCACGCAAATCCACAAACCGGGTCAGCACGGGTTAAAGAAATACAAACGTAATCAGTGCTGCACCTCTCACCTTTCTTCGTCAAGGTGTCGACCCCCTCACGCTCAAACCACTCCTGGTAGAGCTGGCGAACGGCGGCCTTGAAGGAGTGGTTAACCGCGACATCGAGGGGTTGAATCTCCGAGGTGCAGCCAGCAGGGATAACCGCAGGGACCAGGTTGAGCTCGCCAAACTTCTTCTTCACCTCCGGGGTCAGGTGCCCGCGGTAGGAATCGAGGACGAGCAGAGCCTTGCGGGGACGGACTCCGAACTTGGGGTTGATGTACGGCTTCACCGCCCTGTCCAACCACTCGATGACCCCGTCCGCGTCCATCCAACCGTTGGGATGGACCCCCACGTGGATATCTGCACAACATAAAAACCACGATGTTAGTTACCGTACGTTTATCACCTGACATGAACATGCCACCGCGTAATCGACGTGTGCTTCATACCTGAAGGAAAATCTCCTTTGGGGACGGTCTTCCTTTTGAAGAAGACCCACAGCTTCAACTTCTCCCCGCTAGCGGTGCAGGCGAGCATCACGGTAACCCGCTCTTTCTGGTAGCCGCCGCTGCGGACGGGCACGGAGCGCAAGCCAACCTCTTCAACGGTGCGTTCGGATGGCATCTCAAGCCAGAGGGGCGTCTGGTCCGCGTTTAAGATCCACGGCAGGTCGATCTTGTACTGGCGGCGGGAGTGACGCACGTACGTCCAGAAGCTCTTGACATCACTCTCGCAGTCTGGGACACGGGATGGGAGGAACAGAAAGGACAAACACAGAGTGAGAGCCGTGAATAGACGGTTCATACAAACAACAACACCACCAAATAACTCACTTGACGAAAGCTTCTGGCCGACCCAGGTCTTCGCTCTGGTCGTCAGGTTCCAGCGGCGGCGAAAGCGCTGAGTCCACCGCTGAGAGCCGGCCCACTTTTCACCTGGGTGTAACTCTTTCATCACCTCGTGCGACCACTTCTGCAGTCGTGCGATCGAGACGGCGAGGCACTTCTTGCGGTGGGCAAGAAACCTCCGGTACACCTCCGCTTCCATGTCGCGATACCACGAGCTCCTTCCGCGGCCGTGCAGGCGACAGCGTGCACCGTGCGCGCCCTCAAGCTCAGCCTTCCGGCTCTTCCACTCCGTGAGACACCTTCGGGAGATGCCGGATTCGCGAGACATGCGCCGCACACTCATCTCTCCGTTTTCGAGCTTCAGAATCCATTGCAGCTTCTCATGCGAGGTGTAGGAATTGCGCCTGTGCTTTGTTGGCTTGTGCCTGGGGGAGGGAGGACGGGCATCACGATTATCGCGAGATGGGTGGGGCCTTTTTTTATTCGGAGGGGGGAAGGAGGGAATTGGAAGGTGCTCGGGGAGACCGTCAGCAGCCCAGAACTCCACGTCGTCGTCTGCACCGGTTGCGGATTCGTCCAACGGGCAAGCAGCCGGCGCTCCCCACCGTTGCTCCGGTGCGGAGGAAGATCCTTCGCCGCCGCTGCAGTCAGGCTCGGACAGGAAGGCGTCGAACGCCGAGTAGCCAGGCGGGAGGAGAAGCCGCAGAACCCCCTGTCCCGGAACACAAACAGCAGGCGGGACAGGAGGGGCCGGAGGAACGGGAGGAATAGGAGGCGCCGGGGGAGCGGGAGGGGTAGGAGGCATAGGAGGAGTGGGAGGAATGGGAGGCACTACTGGTTGTGATGGAGGGACGGGCGCAGGGCGCGACTGCCATTGAGAGTAGTCACGGGTGTCTCTGCAGGTACTTTCTCTAGCAGCAGGTCGGCGGCGGAACAAGAAATGCGTGCCTGGAAGGTCCGCCATGGCCACGGCAGGCCAAGCGAACAAAGAAAACTGAATCAAAAGCTGAGAATGAGGGCCGTATGAAGCCCTCGCCCGAGACCCCTTCAGTTTTGCGGCCCGGCTTCCTCTACGGGGAAAGTCCAGCCACAGTCAAGATTCCCCGCAGAGGAGCTGAGCTGGGAAGCTCTTTGCCACAGTGGTAGGGAATCTTGATGTTGATGGGCACGTCGTGGCTGAACCACGACGTGCCCAAGATCGCATGCAACCATGATTGGGCCGCTGTGATGCGAAGTACGTGTGCGCTGGCATGGGCCAGGTTCACGTTCGATGAACCTGGCCTGACCAACAAGGCGTGGAAGGCGTCATGCCACGCCTTGTTGGCCGTTTCACGCGCAAAGCATGCACAATTTCGAACGTTCTCGACTCAGGTGAATTCGCCTTTGAGAATGCTTCGATTTGATATATTTAAAAACAAATTTCATTTTTGACATAACATAAACGCCGGCGCTTATAATTTTACTATATTATAAGCCCACCCCCTAAAAAAAACATGTTTTATTAGTGCCCCCCATGGGGGTTTATCCGGGGTATGACGGTATTGACAACTTCAAGCAGAGCTGCGCATATCATTGGATTCGGGAGATCGTGGAGAACACGATAGGCGATAGCAAGTAGACTATTGCCGACTAAGGTGCTTACGATCCTAAGACTGCCGCGAATCTAGAAACCTTGGAAAATCACGAGAGGCCCAAGACCTGCAAATTACCTCACAGTTGTGCTCACTTGATCGCGAGAGAAACCTCGTTCCCGAATTCCCTTTGCCGATTTCCTTCCTGTAGAATTTCCTGTTGAGAGAGCAACAAGGATCTCAGAACCAACATACTCGTTACACGGTGACTTCTTTATACAACCGTACACTCCAGAATGCTCGATTTCCTGTAGGCGAAGCTCACGACGGTCGTACAATCTCTGTGGCAAAAAACTGTTTGTGATCGCAATGGTAACTATTTCTCGCGGGTTATTCCTGTCCTCTAAGCAGTACATTCCCTCTGCTCGAGCCACTCACGCGATACAGAGCCGTTCGGTGTAACAATGCTAAAGATAAACAGCACTGCGTACTCTTCCTATTAAAAAAAATCCTACAAATTTCTAGTGTCAAAATTTGTACAAGAGGCTACAAGCATGCAGCCAGATTTTGTATCACTGGACAAGTGTAGTCCCGATATCTCACGGGCATCCCTACAGCTATGCAGCATCCTAAAAAATAAAGAGAATGGGTTGGTGGTGGTTGATCATTTGAGGGTCTGATGGAACGCTTCACGTCCGTTTCCAGTACTGTTGAGACCATCCTCCCTCTTGAAGGACCATGCGAGGATACACCGGAATCGAAACGCTGCGCCACCACTCCTACCAACTCCCCATTCAAGGCGCCTAAAAAAACTGGACTTGCTACCATACTAGAGGTCGCTGGTGTCGTTTTCCCCCTCGATGAAACGCACAGGTGCCACGGGATATGGTGCCACCACTCCCCGTGCCTCATCCTTCAAGGCGCCTCAAAAACTTGGTAGATTTTTGCAGCTAGTAAAAGGCGTTGGCGTCGTTCTCCCTTCCAATGAACTGCAAGGGAACCACATGGATATGGCGCCTGCCACCATTCCCGCAGCCTCCGCCTCGATTGGTCTCTCGTGTGAACACGTTGCCTAGAACAAGAAGCACCACCAATCTCACCGGGAGAACGACCAGCACAACGTCCCTCACTGGGAGAAAAGCAAGGCGGATGGCTAGTAGAAATCGGCATCATTCTCCCTCTCAATAAACCGCACGGGAACCACCGGAATATGATGCCACCATTCCCGCAACCTCCTTACAAGCCGTCGCGTTTGGTCTCTCCGGAACTCCATTTCTCGTGTGAAAACGTCGCCTAGCACCAGCAGCACCACGACCCGCACCGGGAGGATGGCGAGAAGGATGGCCAGGACTATGTGGACGGCAATAAGCTCGTCTGTGGCTGTTGGGAGCTCGGAGAGGGCTAGCGCTCGTGCTTTGAGGAGTGCGATGTTGAGTGCTTGGATAGCCGCTTCCACCTGTCGAGAGAGCCCAGTGGAGAGTAAGGAATGAGAGGAGTTATCAGGAGAGGATATCACAGCTACAAAGAGGATGGGTAAGATGTGCGTGGAAGTGGACTTGTCCATGGCCCTGCGAGGAGTTTGGAAGCACAGCAGATACCTCACCTGAAAACAACAAAGGCTCACCTGAACCAGAAAAGCCTCACCTGAAAACAACAGAGGCCTCACCTGAAGCAACAGAGGCCTCACCTGAGCTAGAGCAGCCTGCAGCACGACCAGCTGCTCCACAGCGCTCTGATTGGGCGGCGTGATCACCACCACCTCGTTCCGCCGATTCGGCGGGCGGCGTCTGTCGGACTGTTGCACGAATCGGAGCCACATCATGATGACCGCGTTGGTCAGGAGGAGGAACGGGATGACATACCCGAGCCAGTCCCTGAGGTTCGGATGACAGCAGATGGAAGGGAGTGTGAGCAATAAGCAAATCCAGACGACTCATACGAAAACAGCTTCTTTTTTTTGGAGGGAGGGGGGGGAGTGTGTGTGGGGGGAGGGAGGGGGGCAAAGATTGCAACCTTGGGTGATGCACACGGATTGCAACGTGGAAAACAGCAGAACGTTTACAATAGGTCTTACTTGTAGATGATATAGAGTGCAAAGGCTAGAAAGACCATGGTCTTGATAGGCTCCTCCCACGAGGCTAGCGACTGGAACCACTGCCCTAGCAGCATCGCTGGCACTAGAAGCTCCTGTGATGGGGAGAGAAGAGTGGATAGGAGTGATGAGGAGGGGCATGTTTAAAAAAGACTGGCGACTTGAGCACTCCCATGAGGCTAACAACTGGAACCATTGGTCTTGCAGCGTAGCTGGCACAAGCACCATAGAAGCATACTCTTGCTTTCCTCCACACACCGTACCTTCATGAGAGCCACGTTTGTCCCGATGCCCTCCACCTTCACCTCCTCCACCGACCGCTTCGCCTTGGCCACTTTACTCGACTTGTCTCTCGAGTTCTTTACTGCCCGTTCAAGAGCCGTCATCTCCCCTACAAGCACATCCCCTACAGGCATAGACGGGGATGAACCCACTCCCAGCGCCCCTGCTCCTCCTCCGCCCATCAGCCCTGCTGTGCCGGGGAGAAATGCTGCTACTGCTGCTGCGGCTGCACTGCCTCCTTGCTGCCATCTGCTCCCTCCTGCTGCTGCTGCTCCTGCTCCTGCTGCTGCTCCTCCTGCTTCTCCTGCTGCTCCTGCTGTTCCGCCAGTACCTCCTGCTGCTGCTCCCCCACCCTCCTCCTCTCCCCCGCCCCCTCCACCTCTCCCTCCACCTCCCCCTCCTCCCCCGCCTCCGCCTCCTCCCCCTCCCCCCCCAAACCCAGCATTTCTCACAGCAGCGGCAGCCAACTCCCCTAGCTTCTCCAGCTGCTCTCGTTCCTTTTTCGGGCTGCCCGAGTCCGCCTTAAGCACGCCCGCCATGGCCCGCAAGATTTTATCCCCGCTCGGGAGCTCGTCTGCTGCAATGAAAGTTAGGAGGCTCTCAGGGGTGGTAGGGAGGGCTTTTTGTAAGCTCCACACGGCTTTAAGTCGCGCTATACCCCTCACGGCTTTGGCTATAGCCTGCCTGCGAGCCGGACCTTCTAGCTTGTAGGTCCGGACAAAGGAATGGACGGCTATGATTTCGCGGATGATGGACAGCCAATAGTCTCTCCGCATGTGTGCTGTTAGCTCTGGGAACTCTAGGACCACAGGCTCGGATCTGAGAAGGCGCCAGACCAACAGACAGAAGGGTGCCATGGGTGGGAGGGACGTGAAAGAGCAAAGGGGAAATGTTGGTGACGATCAGAGTAAACGTGTGCGGTTAGCTCTGGAAACTCCAGAACGACAGGCTCGGATCTGAAAAGGTGACAGACCAGCAGAGAGAAGGGTGCCATCGGTGGGATGGGTGGGAAGGTTGGAATGTGGAAGGGCAAAAGGGGGGCAGTGGTTAGTGAAGCTGCGAGTAAATGTGTGTTGGCAGCCCCAAGAACTCCAGAACCGTCTGGTGGATGTATGCTGTGCTGTGAGATCAATCTTCTTTACGGCACACTCAGTCCTAACCACTGCCTAGGGCTCAGCATCTCGAGTTTCGAGGTTCAGAGGTTCAGAGGTTCAGAGGTTCAGAGGTTCAGAGGTTCAGAGGTTCAGAGGTTCAGAGGTTCAGGGATTGAGGGTTGACTTACATGGCATGGCTTTTGTACATGATGGCCTTGTCGAACAGCTTCGCCCCCCACGGGCCAGTGAGGTCCGGCTTGACTGTCTGATGGAGGTCTGCGGCCAAATCAAACTTCTTTGCTGCGTCGTACGAGACGACACCACTGGGCTCGAAGTATAGGGCGCAGTCCGTGAGGGTCAACCGACCTAATTGGAAGAGAAATTGCAGAAAGAGTTGGTAGGGTGGGGAGGAGTGAGATGGCGTGGCATCAGGTAAAACTTCTTTGCTGCGTTGTACGAGCCGGCAATGCAAGGCACTGACGCCTATGTGCTGCAGCACTGGCTGCGTCGTTGCCCATCCATCCCTACCATTGGCCTCCTTGCCCCTCACCATCCCAAGGCCCAACGAAACCCTGATGACCAAACCCTAAAATCTAATACAGAGGTCGAATTGAGCTCCCACCTGGCCAGGCACTGACGCCTATGTGCTGCAGCACTGGCTGCGTCGTTGCCCATCCATCCCTACCATTGGCCTCCTTGCCCCTCACCATCCCAAGGCCCAACGAAACCCTGATGACCAAACCCTAAAATCTAATACAGAGGTCGAATTGAGCTCCCACCTGGCCAGGCACTGACGCCTATGTGCTGCAGCACCGGCTGTGTCGCCTGTCCGTCCGTCTCTATCACTGCCTCCTCGCCCCTCACTATCCCTAGAGCCGATGCCAACGCTCCAGTGGTGGAGTTCTTTATTGTCTTCACAGTTCTGTTCGAAAAGGAAGGGGAAGGGGGAGGGGGAGACGACAAATACGATTTTAACCAGATAATGCTCACTCTTGATCAGTTATTTGTCATCCCTCACTACTTGAAGACCTAGTATCATACGTTTCACAACAGAAACACTCGTGTTCCTCAAAATCAAGCAGTTTGCTCACTTTTCGAGTTTGCTCACTTTTCGAGCTCGCTGAGGTAGTTATTGTAGATGGCGAAGGGAAGGCGGCCGCCCTGGCACTCGTCGGTGAGCAGCTCAAAGAGTGCGTGCACCGTCACACTGTCCGCCACCAGCGGGATAGCTGGAGCTAGCCGGGCGAACGCGTCCATGCACACACTGCTCTCCACGTCCATCTGAGAAGGAAAGGGGGGAGGAAGGGACAGGCAGACGGGGAGCGGTGTCTGTTTCTTAAAAAACTGGTTGGAGGCAGGTGGCCAAACGCGTCCATGCACACACTGCTCTCCACGTCCATCTGAGTAGGGGTGGAGATGGCGAGGAGTGAAATGTGAGGAGAGTGAGGGGAAAGTATGGAGGAACTTCGAGACGGCCGTGAATGTGAGCCATCAGTGGGATGGTGGGACCAGGCGGGCATCCGCGTCCATGCACACACGGTTCTCCACGACCATGCACAAACTGCTCTCCATGTTCATGCACACACTGCTATCCATGTTCATACACACACAGCTATCCATGTTCATGCACACACCGCTATCCATGTTCATGCACACACCGCTATTCATGTTCATGCACACACCGCTATCCATGTTCATGCACACACCGCTATCCATGTTCATGCACACACTGCTATCCATGTCCATGCACACACGGTTCTCCACGACCATGCACACACTGCTATCCATGTCCATGCACACACGGTTCTCCACGACCATGCACACACTGCTATCCATGTCCATGCACACACGGTTCTCCACGACCATGCACACACTGCTATCCATGTTCATGCACACACGGTTCTCCACGACCATGCACAAACTGCTATCCATGTTCATGCACACACGGTTCTCCACGACCATGCACAAACTGCTATCCATGTTCATGCACACACGGTTCTCCACAACCATGCACAAACTGCTATCCATGTTCATGCACACACAGTTCTCCACGACCATGCACAAACTGCTATCCATGTTCATGCACACACGGTTCTCCACGACCATGCACACACTGCTATCCATGTTCATGCACACACCGCTATCCACGACCATGCACAAACTGCTATCCATGTTCATGCACACACGGTTCTCCACGACTATGCACAAACTGCTATCCATGTTCATGCACACATGGTTCTCCACGACCATGCACAAACTGCTATCCATGTTCATGCACACACTGCTATCCATGTTCATGCACACACAGCTATCCATGTTCATGCACACACCGCTATCCATGTTCATGCACACACCGCTATCCATGTTCATGCACACACCGCTATCCATGTTCATGCACACACCGCTATCCATGTTCATGCACACACCGCTATCCATGTTCGTGCACACACTGCTATCCATGTTCATGCACACACTGCTATCCATGTTCATGCACACACTGCTATCCATGTCCATGCACACACGGTTCTCCACGACCATGCACACACTGCTATCCATGTCCATGCACACACGGTTCTCCACGACCATGCACACACTGCTATCCATGTCCATGCACACACGGTTCTCCACGACCATGCACACACTGCTATCCATGTTCATGCACACACGGTTCTCCACGACCATGCACAAACTGCTAATCCATGTTCATGCACACACGGTTCTCCACGACCATGCACACACTGCTATCCATGTTCATGCACACACGGTTCTCCACGACCATGCACAAACTGCTATCCATGTTCATGCACACACGGTTCTCCACGACCATGCACAAACTGCTATCCATGTTCATGCACACACGGTTCTCCACGACCATGCACACACTGCTATCCATGTTCATGCACACACGGTTCTCCACGACCATGCACAAACTGCTATCCATGTTCATGCACACACGGTTCTCCACGACCATGCACAAACTGCTATCCATGTTCATGCACACACGGTTCTCCACGACCATGCACAAACTGCTATCCATGTTCATGCCCACACGGTTGTCCGCGACCATGCACAAACTGCTATCCATGTTCATGCACACACGGTTCTCCACGACCATGCACAAACTGCTATCCATGTTCATGCACACACGGTTCTCCACGACCATGCACAAACTGCTATCCATGTTCATGCACACACGGTTCTCCACGACCATGCACAAACTGCTATCCATGTTCATGCACACACTGCTATCCATGTTCATGCACACACTGCTATCCATGTTCATGCACACACAGCTATCCATGTTCATGCACACACCGCTATCCATGTTCATGCACACACCGCTATCCATGTTCATGCACACACCGCTATCCATGTTCATGCACACACCGCTATCCATGTTCATGCACACACCGCTATCCATGTTCATGTACACACCGCTATCCATGTTCATGCACACACCGCTATCCATGTTCATGCACACACCGCTATCCATGTTCATGCACACACCGCTATCCATGTTCATGCACACACCGCTATCCATGTTCATGCACACACCGCTATCCATGTTCATGCACACACCGCTATCCATGTTCATGCACACACCGCTATCCATGTTCATGCACACACCGCTATCCATGTTCATGCACACACCGCTATCCATGTTCATGCACACACCGCTATCCATGTTCATGCACACACCGCTATCCATGCACACACCGCTATCCATGTTCATGCACACACCGCTATCCATGTTCATGCACACACCGCTATCCATGTTCATGCACACACCGCTATCCATGTTCATGCACACACCGCTATCCATGTTCATGCACACACCGCTATCCATGTTCATGCACACACCGTTATCCATCTTCTTGCACAAACCGCTATCCATGTTCGTGCACAAACCCTATCCATGTTCATGCACACACTGTTATCCATGTTCGTGCACAAATTGCTATCCATCACTTCCTACCTGTCCCGTGGGCTGATTCCATGACGGCCACCTGGCCATCGTGGCCACCTGGCGAGTCTCGCCTCCCACGCGAGCATCATGTCGAACGTCCAGCGCCGGAAGTCTTTGTCCTTGAGGTGCTCCATCACCTGCGTCGCCACGGCCAGCGCGCGGAAATCCCCAAGGCCCCAGGAGATCCCAAGGCACCTCAGACCCCTACCTGTCCAGGCAGCTGATTGGCTGCGCCTGCAACCCCTCACGCGAGCATCACGGTCCACCAAACACCAGCAGCTCTCACAGGCCCACCAGAGAAAAAAATTTCCAGAGGGAAAACGCTGGTCCTTACAACATTCGAACCCGAACCATACCCTACCTGTCCTGTGGGCTGATTCGACGCTCCCGGCGCCTCCCACGCGAGCATCATGTCGAACGTCCAGCGCCGGAAGTCTTTGTCCTTGAGGTGCTCAGTCACCTGCGTCGCCACGGCCAGCGCGCGGAAGCAGCAGTACTCGAGGAAATTGCGCGCGTACCGCGCGGGCTCTCGCGCGCTCGCGGGCGCCTCCTCCTCGAAATTCGCTTTTAGCTCCTCCGGTTTGAGCATCAGGACTCTGGAACGGGAAAAACGGAAGGTGGGATATAGCGCGGACGCTACCAGGTGAATTACGTGATGAATTAGTCTGAAGTGACGATGCTTAATACGGTTAGATGGGAAGAAATTCGGATAAAGAGCAGCAGCGTCGCGTGAACAGCTTACGACATGCAACGGATTTCTACGAATCAATAGAAACGAGCTGCACGGTGCATACCTCGCGCATCGGCCAACAACCACGTTAGCCATCGACGAGAGCTCCTTAATCCACTTCCCGCCAGCGCGCTCCTGCGTACTTAAACTAGCGCTCAGCTGCCCTGCGCCGCCGGTCGCAGCAGCTCCATCTCTAGGACTGCGTATAATAGTCTCCCACCCCAGGAGCTCAGATTCGCTCATGTAACCTGCCATGGATGAAAAAGCGTCTGAGGAATTTCGAGGAGGGGAGGACCCAGAACCGAAGAAACCCTGACCTCCACCCCCAGATGAACCTTGTCTGGGTCCGATTCCGGCAGCGCCGCTGATTCTGTCGATGACTTGCGACGCCTGCTGTTTGATGTTGGAAATGTCCTGAACGGCTTGACGAAACGCGCGATGCGGTCGCCATGGCTCTTTTTCTGGCTTCCGAGGCGTGTCGTACGGTGAAGATGGTGATCTTACATGTTCCGAACGTAAAGGCTCGGCTTCTAAGCTCATCGCGGAAGCGGATTTCACAAGGCGAGGTTCGGTCATGGAGCCTGACGAACGCGCCGAGCCTGACGAGCGTGACAACAAAGGTACACAAATCCAATTCTTCGGTTCGGCTACTTCGTTCGAGGAAAAAGCTCCGGCACACAAGAGCGATTCGTCTGGTGGTACTACCTTGCTCGAGTTGCTACTAGGGATGCGTATCGTTGGAGCTTTATACTCCTTTCGTGTATGGCTATTTTCCTTGCTGAACCATTTAAATCGAGCGCGAAGACGAGCTGAAACCGAAACTACTCCATCCAGCACGGGAGCATCTGTCGGCTTGGCAGCAAGGACCGCAGCAGCGCGTATCGAGGCTGGAGCAACATGGAGATGCACACGGCAAGATGGAAAACTAAGGCTGACAGTAGCCAGAGTTACAGGTGCTGAAGGGTATTTGTTTTGGATGGAGGTTGCAGGGAGCTAGAGGGAGCCTAATGTCTAGTTTTGCGGTGGTTTATTGCAAATCTATGTGGTTTTTATGCGCTAATAAGCGATTGAGTACGGTGAAAGTGAAAACTGAAATGGGCTGTTATTGTTGCTGTGTGCCCGTCAGGCTTCTCTGATTGGACTGGGCTCATTGTGACGCGATCCACTTCCGCCAGGCGGAGCCTTTGGAGTCCCAGAGGTGGCTTCGCTCGCCTTGGAGTTGTCAAAGTTCGCAGATTTCTCCACTGGAATTGCTTGGTGCTCGTTTGAGCTCAAGGGGTGGGCCTAGAGAGCCAACGGAAATCACGCACCTGATTACCGTGCCCTGGTGGTTTTTGGGTCTGTCATTTTGAAATCCATTGGGTTTGGTTTGGGCGGTCTGTGTTTCGCCGTCGAATGCATTCGCCTTTTATCTGCTCATGCAACCAGCCTCGGTTCGCATTGTAAGGTTCGGAACGGACGTGCCAAAGGTAGGCTTGTTGATCAAGCCAGAGCGGATTACCGAACTTCAATGTCGGTGTCGTTAGACGACGCGAGAGACCGAGTTTTGAGTCGCGCAGCGCTGATTCGCAAGGATCTCGTCGTAAGAATCTTGCAGATCTTTCGCGAAACCCCATGTGCGACACAAAATTCTGAATGCGAGAATGCATATGGTGCTTGGTGATTGCATGGCGCTTCGTCACGTCACACAGTACGGGGCTCTAGTCAGCCATCACGCTCCTCAGAGGTGACGTGGCAAGCAGAAGAATGCACCAGGGAATCGTTGGAGCCAGACCTGCATGTCGTTGATTGCGGTAACCCACGCTGGTTCCAGGCTCAACCGCCTGACAAATTGGAAGTCAACTCGTTATAAAAAGGTTCGTCATGAACGGAATCCAGAATTTCAGACTCTGTTATTGCACTAAATTTCCTGTCACAGTGTAGTCCGCTTCCGCTTCAACCAACTCGCGAGAGATGCGCGTTGCATTCAGGTCAGGAGGACATATCGAAATCCTTACCGACCGTTTTGTTACCTTAAAGCACCGTTCTGCAGCGCAAGCCGCATTGAAGAAGCTGTCAATAACACACACCTCAGCAGCGGGCCAAGCAAATTCACATTTTCCATTTCAAGAACCGTGACCACGACGCCTCTTGTTCCTGACACCGCATAGCTACCATAACTACTTACTGCTCTTCACGCGAAAAGAGATTTTAATTGTCCTTGTATTTCGGCTCAAGGTTTACATTTGAAATACTTAAAGTCGAACAAGCAGTCGGGTTTTGCGAATTTACAATATTTCCTCGGACACCCATGGGACCGTTGGCATCGGAGGAGCGACCGCTCGATGTAGACGCCTTCGTTGCGGCTTCAGCAGACCTGGTCAGCACCCCGAGTAAGCCACCATCATCCACGCACCTAGCTGGTTTTTAGATGTCGTCGTTGAGGCTTCAGTAGACCTGGTCAGCAACCTGAGTAAGCCACCACCATCATCCACGCACCTACAGCGTGTTTTTTTTGGAAGAATGTTTATTGGAAGAGCTATTGCGCGCTTGATTCCGTCGAGAGCTTCTCTGAACTTTCACCTTCTATATGCTGATGGTTCGATCAACATCTTTTCATCAGAGACGTGTATGAACTCATGGTGAGCCGTATAAACTCATAGTGAGCCGTATAAACTCATGGTGAGTCGTATGAACTCATGTTGAGCCGTATGAACTCATGGTGAGCCTTTTCATTTCGTGTGAATTTCTGGACAGAGTGATTTTCAGGGCTCGGAGCGCTCCCTACTTCTGTTAGGACGAGTTTGAGACGTCCCAGAACCCTCCCTGATTCGTCAGATTCGCTTGTTCTTACGTCCGACTTCTTTTTTTACGACATTATTTACGCTGCTCCTTTCTTTCATCTTCCCCGTCTCTCAGCATCGGATGATGGGTCAGTCACTGCCTTCTTGAGCAGCTTCCCCCTGCCGCTCATCCTCAGGTACACTGCACATTCATACTATCATGTACATGGTGCGAAGTATTCTGTAATGTGCAATTTGTCGTCTACTGTACACTTCAGATCTCCCATTTCCGACCACTGCACAGCACACTGCAATGCCCTGCGCACCTGCACACTGAATTCCGTTCATTAGCAGCTTTTCAAGTCCACTGCTCTCTACCTTTCAGGGCATTAGACTCTGGGCCACCATCCCAGACACGTGGCATGGAGGGATTGGAGGAGGAGGGCGAGAAGGAGAGGGGGGTATTAGAGGAGTCAGAGGCTGCAGTGAGGCTACAGCAGGCAGCCGTGCAGGCACTCTTTAGGGTTTTCAAGTCCAATGTCGTTCTTCCCGTCCTTCCAAGCCTTGTGGTGGGTTCTACTGCTGTTCACACATCAGAACCGTTCACATGCAAGCTCTTTCTTCATGCACGTTGCATCATAAGCCAATTTCTGAGTGTGCAGGCGGCGTTTGTGTGTTTTCTCTCCCGTCCTTTTTGTTTCTCTCACTCTCCAGACATGTGCCATTAGTCGTTTCCTGTGCCTCTGCTGCGGTATGCATGTGCAGCCATACGCGGAGAAAGGGATGCTCTCGCCCGCCCCGGACATGCGCCGTCTCTGCTGCTTTGCGGTAAGCTCAAAACACACCACATCCATGCGCCGCTCAGTCTTACCATTGACTGTATTTCTGTCCTTATGTATTTATTAATTAATTTATTTATATACTTTCTGTCAATATAGCCCAGAAAACAATGCATCCCCCTTGATTTTCCCTCCATTTGTCCCTGTGCCCCTGCCTTCCCCCCCTCAGCTTCAACGCATGGCTGAGGGGGGAGAGGAGGAGCTGCAGGAGCTTGGGAGTCAAGGGGAAGTGGCTCGGCGAGTGGTGGGGGAGGGTTTGGTGCGGTGCTTGGGCGACGAGCACCTGCCAGTGGCTGCTGCTGCCACTGACGCACTTGCTGCCTTCTGCCGATCGGCCTTGGGAGTGGTACGTTGGATTCTGGGCATGTGAGTTTGTGGTTTAGAAGCGTGTGACATGGTTTGGTGCGTTGCAATGCGGTGCTTGGGCGACGAGCACCTGCCAGTGGCTGCTGCTGCCACTGACGCCTTCGCTGCCTTCTGCTGATCACCCTTCTGCTATGATTGCCATGTATGGGGTGTGTGACGATTGGGCGGGGTGTGTGGAGCCTGTGTGTTGTGTGAGCTTGTGTGAAAGTGCACATTTGAATCTGTCCAAATTTCGGATAGGTTAACACATTCCCCTCAATTTCACACCACCTTTAAATTCCTCACTCTTCACAATCCCTCTGTCTCGCGGTGCTCCCATCCTGCAATTCCTTTCAGAGCCTCATTTTCAGCAGTGATCACCTGTACAAGCTCACACGCTCGTCGCACTCACAGGTATATCCGGGGGCTTCCATCTTTGGTTGTGCTGCCTTAGTTTCTTGAGCAGAACCTTATTACTAACCAGATTGTCGACTTGTTTTGTTCCTTCTTTGTCCACCAGTTTCTCTCTGACCTTTCTGGCCACTATCGTTGCCTTTCATTGTCCCTTCGATTAAGTTCTTCTCTTTTTCAAAGGGACAACTGCTCTTGTCCATCACTCACTTGCACACTGTTCTTATTCGCAGGTGCTTTTACCAATCCCCCCTGTTTCTATCCTTGCTCACATTGGCTTCTCCTCGCCAGGTGCAGCAACGAGTGGTGGAAGCAGCACTGCGTCTGGCCAACCAGTCGCAGCACGCCATGTCAGCAGTTGAGAAGCTGGATCTGCTGCAACCATTGGTCGCAGAGCTGCAAGGAGTGGCAGGGATGGGAGTCAGTGGAACGGAAGGGGGAGGTGGTACTAGGGCAGGTGCAAGTGAGGAGGGGGGAGATGCACTGGCGGCTCTTGCAGCATGTGAACTCGTCTCAGAGGTACAGTTTCCACCTCTGGGCATCGTTCCAGATTTTTTCTGGAAACAAGCTTTCCTGCTTATTTCTTTGTCGTCCGTGCAAACCTGATATTTCTTTGTCGTCTGTGCAAACCTGATTGCATTCTGCTTCCTTCCCCCACTCCACACGTGCCTGCCTGCCAGTTCACGAGCAGGCGTGAAAAGCTGCTTGACCCTCACACGCAGACAGCATCTAGACCAATCACTGGGCGAGCCCTCCTTCTCATCCCCCTTACGTTGCATTCTGCTGCGTTCCTTATGTGCCTGCCAGTTCACGAGCAGCAGGGTGGGTGTGGAGCTGCTAGAGCCTCGCATCGACGAGATTCACGAGGCACTCGTTCAGATCTGCACCAAGGCATCCACGCCAGCACTGGCAACAACAGAAGGAGAAGCACCATCATCATCAGCAGCAGCAGCAGCAGCAGCAGCAGCACGACCAGCAGAATCATCGTTGCATTTGGGCCTGGATCTGCTCCTGCCGGCTGCTCTCAAGTGTGCCGCGCGCCTCACCTCGCCTGCCACACCAGGAGTCATGGCTCCCCTCACCTTAATCCGTACGTGCCTCCTCTGACCTTGACTTGTATGCACTGTTCCCACACCTTGATCTGCACGCCCCTTGTACTCTCATCTCATTTATATGCCCACCTCTCTTTCCCTGTCGGTCTTTCCCTGTTCGTTGCTCCCTCCCTCCCTCCCCTGTGCCTCAGAGGCGGAAGAGGGGGCAGTGCTGTTCGATAGCATGTGTGTGGGGCATGGCTATCGAACAGCCATGCCAGCTCTTCCGCTGGGGGCGCAGTGAGATGCGAGTTGAAGGATGGTTTGAAGTTGGATTACCAGCCTTCCTTGCATTTCTTGCCCTTTCCCTCCCCTGTGCTTCAGAGGCGGACGAGGTGGCAGCACTCTTTAATAGCCTATGTAAGGCATTAATTCGCAGTGAGGATCTGTTTTGTGGGTCAACTGCACTCAGCTCACACCCCTCTCTTGTTGGTTCACTCCACTCCCCTTTCCTCCCTTTCCCTGTGCTGTCCTTCAGAGGCGGACGAGGTGGCAGCACTCTTCAATAGCCTATGTGAGGCATGGGGGCGCAGTGAGCAGCACGCGGTCGCAGTGAGGAGCGCGGGGAGGGAGGGGTACCTCTCAAGGCCGCATCCTCATGCCGTTGCCTCTCTTTCTCTCCTCCTTTTTCTCACAGTCCTTCAGAGGCGGACGAGGTGGCAGCACTCTTCAATAGCCTATGTGAGGCATGGGGGCGCAGTGAGCAGCACGTAAAGGTGTACCTCTCGATGCTGCGTCCTCAGACCTTTTACCCTCTCTTTTTCTCTTACATCCCCCGTCCTGTGATTCAGAGGCGGACGAGGTGGCAGCACTCTTTAATAGCCTATGTGAGGCATGGGGGCGCAGTGAGCAGCACGTACCGGCTGAGACAGTTGAAGGTTTCTTCGATGCCCTCGCTACCTACGCACGCTGTGAGTTGCTGCTTATGATTTGGAGCTGCCTACTTCGAAGCCTCCCTCTTACCTTTCCTCCTGCCTGTCTCTTCTCCCACAATTAACACCTTGTTCCTTTCCCCCTTAACCCTCACCCCGCCTGCCTCTCTCCCGTCCTCCCCTCCCCCTCCAACACTTTTCATTCTCCAGCCACACACGGCACTCGGCTGCTGCTCAACCCCCGTCGCCACATCATCAGTTTTGTTCTCAAGCGTGCCTTTGGGGGTTGCGGTCCCCACACCTCGCTGCACACTGTGAGTCATCTTGTGTGCCCGTTGCTCCTGCACACTGTGAGTCATCTTGTGTGCCCGTTGCTCCTGCACACTGTGAGTCATCTTGTGTGCCCGTTGCTCCTGCACACTGTGAGTCATCTTGTGTGCCCGTTGCTCCTGCACACTGTGAGTCATCTTGTGTGCCCGTTGCTCCTGCACACTGTGAGTCATCTTGTGTGCCAGTTGCTCCTGCACACTGTGAGTCATCTTGTGTGCCCGTTGCTCCTGCACACTGTGAGTCATCTTGTGTGCCCGTTGCTCCTGCACACTCAAGTGCTCCGCACCCCTGCAGGTGGTGCCTGCGCATGTACCTATGCTTTCTCTTAACCTTCAAATCTCTGCGCTCCCCCATTCTCTGCGCTCCCCCATTCTCTGCGCTCCCCCATTCTCTGCACTCCCCCATTCTCTGCGCTCCCCCATTCTCTGCGCTCCCCCATTCTCTGCGCTCCCCCATTCTCTGTGCTCCCCCATTCTCTGCACTCCCCCATTCTCTGCGCTCCCCCATTCTCTGCGCTCCCCCATTCTCTGCACTCCCCCATTCTCTGCGCTCCCCCATTCTCTGCGCTCCCCCATTCTCTGCGCTCCCCCATTCTCTGCGCTCCCCCATTCTCTGCGCTCCCCCATTCTCTGCGCTCCCCTGTGGTTTTTGTCACCCCATTCTTCCAGGCCTCGCTGCACCGGCTCGCTCCCCTCCACGCATCTGCACTGGCGTCCATCTTTGGAGCAGATTGCGTGGAGGGGAGCGAGCCGGTGCAGATGGTGCCAGTGCATGCCACCCACACCACACCTACTCTACTCTTAACCTTCACGTCTCTGCACTGCACTCCTCTGCTCCTTCTGCCACCCCTATTCTGCAGGCCTCTCTTCTGCGAGCGCATCTGCATCGGTATTTGGAGCAGACAGGGTGGAGGGGAGCGAGCCGGTGCAGATGGTGCCAGTGCATGCCACCCACTCTTCATACCATCTCCACCCCACCCCACATTCCTGCACACCCTTTCCCACACTCAGGCCTCTCTACACGCGTTGGCTTCCGTTTTCGGAGCAGACAGGGTGGAAGGGAGCGAGCCGGTGCAGATTGTGCCAGTGCATGCCACCCACTCGGGGATCAGCGGGGTGGATGAGGGGGGAGGAGAGGGGGGAGGGATGGATCTAGAGGTGGGGGACGATGGGGAGACGAAGCTCAAGGAAGAGACGTTTGCTGCTGCAGCTAAAGCACCAGGCGGACCCACCTTGGCGGTGAGTGAGTAGCCTCTGTTGATGACGACCCTCAAAAGAACATTTTCCACCTGCAGGATTTCACTCGTTGTTTGTTGAAGTTATTTTTGTGGGCTTTACCCGGTCATTGGCGGGTTAATGTCTTCAGTAACTCTTGGTTGACACCAGGGCGTCAATTGTGTCCTCTGTTTGTTCTAATGAACATAACCCATGTGTTATGGTTTCGTTTTTGGGTTCCTCTGTGGCATGGCATGGTATGGCATGGCATGGCATGGCATGGCATGGCATAGCATGGCATGGCATGGCATGGCATGGCATGGCATGGCATGGCATGGCATGGCATGGCATGGCATGGCATGGTATGGCATCGTATGGCATGTTGTGGGTGTATGGCATGGTGCTGCATGGCACGTGGGATTGTGCCTTGCACCTGGCAGGGCGTGTTCGTCTCTCTGCTCAAGCGCTCTGAGGAGATTCGCGTTGCTGTGAGTCCCACAGTCACACTCACTTGCTGTAGCACACACACCTTCATGCCATTTATAGCAGGGCGCTTGTCGGGCCATGTTCGCCTCTCTGCTAAGTGCATCTCTGCTTTTTCTCTGCGTCACTGCCTGCAGGTGTACCATCTGCTGGCAGCAGCATGAAATAAAGAGTGTTTTTTGAGACGTCTCTTTTGTCACTCTTATTTCGCGTGGCTAAGTGCAACTCTGCTTTCCTTCCCCTGCAGGTGTACCGTTTGCTGGCAGCAGTGGTGTAGAGAGAGTGGGCGGCAGTGGATTTCGTTAGTTCCTCTCACCATGGCTGTCTGGCTGTGCATTTGCTGCCTGTTCGTCTGTCCCACCCCTTCCCCTGCAGGTGTACCGTTTGCTGGCAGCAGTGGTGGAGAGGGAATGGGCCGCAATGGAGCTCAGTGGTTCCTATCTGTGCTATCTATCTGTGGTGTTTGAGTCTGTGCCGTTGCTGCTGGTGCTTCTTCCCCTGCAGGTGTACCGTCTGCTGGCAGCAGTGGTGGAGAGGGAGTGGGCGGCAGTTGAGCTGTGTGGGGACTGGGGCCTGGTGCAGATGGTGACAGACGCTCAGGCAGAGAGGCACAAAGCAGGTGAGGGGCACGACATGTGCGGGGCAGGATGGGGGTGTGTGTGCTGTGTGCCGTTCTCCTGGGATGATCAGCGCAGTGGCTGGTCAACAGATGGGGCGCCAGTGGAGCTGTGTGGGGATTGGGGTCTGGTGCAGATGGTTGCAGACGCACAGACGGAGAGGCACAAAGCAGGTGAGGGGCACGAAGGCAGCGTGAGTGCTGTGTGCTTGTGGCAGCAGAGGTGGTCCGTGCCTTGGCTAGACAGCAGATAAGTTGCTAAGGCGAGTGGGCAACAGAGTGGGCAGCAGTGGAGCTGTGTGGGGACTGGGGTCTGGTGCAAATGGTGACAGACGCTCGGGCGGAGAGGCACAAAGCAGGTGAGTGGCACAACAGGTGACGGGGCGTGCATTGTTGGACGGTTGGGGGGCTATTGAGGGGGCACTGGAGACATTGGGGGGGCATTGACGATCCACATGCAACGCCCTTCGTGTATCCAAGCTACCCATCCCTCCCCACTTCACCCTCCCCTGCCACGTGGCAGCCATGGATTGGAGGCATTCGTGCTGTGTGGCCATGTCAACAGCAGCAGAGGCACAACACGCATCCATCTCCTTCAACTGCACTGCGCAGGTCAGCCACTGCCACCCGTCAGCCACTGCCACCTGTCAGCCACTGCCACCTGTCACTCAGTCAGTCTGCTCCTGTCAGTCACTCCCTCTAGTAACTTGGCTTTTGCACAAAGAACCAAGGGTAGTGACTGGAGGTAGTCACTCCCTCTAGTCAATCCCTATAGTCACCATTCCCTGTCCTCTCTCGTTGTCCCTCCCTCCCTGGCCTCCCTCCTTGCATCACGTCAGCTGGCCGAGGCGGTGCGCAGGGGACCCTACCTGAGGCCACATTCCTAGTCTCCCTTTCTGCCAACCACCAACGCCATCACCCTAGTCCCCCTCTTTCCCCCCCTTCTCTCCCTTCTTGCATCACACCAGCTGGCTGAGGCGGTCCGCAGGGGACCCTACCTGAGGCCACGGGAAATCGAGCCGCGGCCCATTGTTGTTACTGATGAGAGGCCACCCTCTGGGTTTTGACCACACCAGTGTGAGGTTTGCGGAGCTTGATTGGTGGAGAAGAGTGTTAGACATGTGTGTACTGTTGATGGGCGATGCTGTGGGAGGTTGAGCCGCGGCCCAGAGTTGTAACTGATAAGAGGCCCCATACCGGGTTTTGACCACACCATTGAGAGGTTTCAGGAGCTTGGTTTGTGCGACGTATCTTGGACATGTGTGATACGGGTGGATGGATGCAGGTACGAACGGGTATTACAATCAGATGGCGGTGAGTTGCATGTGCTTGCTAGTTTACTGTGTACATTTTGTCCGTTGAATTTCGGTAGGGGTTTTTAGACCCTGTTATTGGTCTTGCAGCATTGTACATAGTGTTTTGATTCGAAGGACAATGCATGTACAGAAACTCAACTGGGCACATGCGTAAGCCAAAGGAGTAAGCAGTCATTGTAGATGGCAAACGAGTTAGGCTACAATTATGGATGCGGGCCTAGTATGTCTCAAACATTTTCTATGGAAACAGGAAAGGGATTACAATGATACTTATCAGGCAATCAGATAGTTTGGTTGAAGTATTTGTCATGCATGAAAAGAATGAGGATTTTATGAATTAGAAGGTGTGAGGTTTTTGGCGTAGTTAAAATGCTAGGACTTATTAGAAGAGCAGCTAGCCAACTTATGCTATGCTAGTAATTCAGAGTGTAGTCATTGGTACCCCTATATTTTTGCGCATCGCTACAGAACAGTAACTAGTCGACAACATCGATGTGCCCCACATTTTTCTGGTCGACGTGAGGCCTCGAGGCATCGCCTCACCAATGGTTGGTGCGATGTTTTCCACCAATGGTGACGCGCGGAGGAACATTTGCGACAAACTCGAGGCAGGTCCAAGGGAATGCCGTTGTCGCAGTACACCAGATGCCCGTTTGAGTCCCACAAGGTTTGCATCATATGGGTATGTAATGAGCAATGCCCTTCGTCCAGGTTCGCTCATTTCGCCAAAAGGCAAATGGGTCTTAAAAAAACAAGAGTTGTAACGTTTTTTTTTTTTTTTCCAAACAGTGCAAACTTTGTTGTTGGTTCTCGTTGCGTGTTACCACGCGCCATTATGAATACATCAACAACGCATACATCAAGTGACGCAATTCATAACAAACAGGGCTGTGAAATCCAACAGCCCATTGCACGAAGCCCAGTTGGAAGCCAGTTACAACTCCACATGGCTTCGTGAAATGTGCACAAGGTGTCACATTTTCACTCAGCTGTTCGTGCTCGTCATCGCATCACTTAGATGCGGAACCATTCGGCCGACTTAGGGTAGCCTCCCATGGCCGCGGTTATGCCGCCGTTGATCAGCTGCTGACGGCGCGACGGCGTCGTCATCCACGCCGGGAGGACGCGACCACGACGAGCAGGCTCCAGAGTTGGTGCGGCAGCGGGCTCGTTCAGATCAAGACGAGGGCTTGCCCTCTCGAGCCGCTCCACAATGATCGGGTTGCGGATGTCGAAAAGGTGGCTAATGTCACGCGGCTCGATCCTGATGGCGCGCGAGTAGCCGATAAGCATTTCGCAGGCCGACCTCGCGTTGCGCCTTGCCTCGCGCGTCACCAGGTCGGTGTCATCATAGACACTAGCAAACGGGATTGGCTGGTCCCAAGAAGATGCCGTTGCCTCGGTGGCAGGCTCTGCCGCCAGCGAATCCTCCCCCGGCTCTTCGCAAGTCGGCTCCATGTCGTCCAAGGCGACAAACTCCGCCGCCGCCATGGTGCTCGGCCCGAGGTTGAGGTGGCGGATCAACGCGCCGACGTCGCCAAGCTCCTCCTCGAGCTCGTCCCCGGCCTCCTCGTCGACATCAGCAGCGGCCCCTACATGCTCTAGCTGCATCTCCCACGCAGCCGGGAGGCAGTCGGTCCGCCACCAGCACCGCTGAATCGTCTTCGGGCTGATGGTGATCCACGCATCGCTGAGCCACGAGAGCGAGTCGCGGAGGTTGGGACGATAGCGCGTCATCGCCCCCCGCGCTCCAGTCGGCCGTGAAAGCGCGAAGCCAGTACGCCCGGTACCGCGCCTTAGCCATAGCGATCAACCCCTGATCAAGGGGCTGCGTGAAACACGTGGTGTTCGGGGGGAGGTAAACGAGCCGGATATTGGATAGCGAGCGGGTGCGAACCTGAACAAGTCCTCGGCCGTCGCTGTCTTTGTCTTTAGCACGTGAGTGCTCGCGTTGTCGAGCAGGATGATGATGTGCCGCTTCTCGGCATACATCGCAGCGTTGAGGTGCTCCGTGAAAGCGGTGAAGAGCTGAAGGTGACGGGCGGGTGGGGAGTTGGAGGGAGAGAATTAGATGAAATGACGACGTTAAAGATGTTGATGCACATAAGCAATCTAGAAAAAACAGAAACAATTCACACACCTTTGACGTCATCCACCCTTTCTTGTTGGACCTCCAGCAGCACAACATCTGGGGGTCGTGGTCCGGGCGGAAGTCGTGCAGGCGCTTTGACTTCGAGATAACAAGGGGACGAAACGGGTGGGTGCCGTCCGCGTTGATAAGGAAGGAAGCCCACCGTGAGCCTTTCCTTGGGGATCTTGCGGCCAGCCACGCGCGCCGTGCCATACGTCTTGCGAGGGAGCACCGAGATGTAAAGGACGGTTTCATCGAAGTTGAAAACATCAGTCGGCACCACCGCGAGATGCATGAGAAGCTACGGCAGCTGCGTCCGGCATGTTGTAACCGCCGCGAGATCTTGGTCGGCAGCCTCACCGCACGCCATGGCGCTGCAGTGTGCGGCGCACCCACCCGACCGAGCACCGGAAGGACGCGGGAATGCCCACGTCGCGGGCGATTCCGTCAGCGTGATGGCGGATGGTCGCCAATGTCACAGGAACGCCGTCCTCCCCCGCGTGGTGAATCCAACGAATGATGCGTTGCTCGAGCTGCGGGTGAGCCCCACCACGCACTCGAGTGGTATTGGTGCTCTCAGCCGTGCAGCTCCAACGGGCCTCGTTACGAAGCACGTGCCCGATCGTCGAGCGATCGGAACGGACACCGTTCCGCATAAAGCACCATCGGGCGATGTCTTCCTGGCGCAGTTGAGGGTGGTTGGTGTGGTAGCTACATACTGCGCGCTTAACATACAGAGGAAGCTGTGAGCGCTTGAGTAAACGAGGCATGCTAGGCAAATGTTGGTGTGAGAGAGGATGATTAGAGTGGGAAATTCGTCGGGTTTATATTGTGGCAGGGGATGTGATACACTAGTCCTGGGGCTTGTTTCGTGCTGTGGTGTGTGTTCATGGTGTCACTCCCTGCCAATGAACCTGAGCGTGGTTACGCCTTGGTGACAGCATGTAACAAAGGTTGGTTGCAGGCGTGCTGTGTTCGTGAAAGGAGGGTGTGACATTTGGGGCTGAAATCGAACAATGCGACACCGTCAACTTTCGACAGCGTGGCACATTGCTGCCGCTGCACAGCGCGTTTGAAACACCTTGCCTGAGCTACGTGGCATACGAGCAAGGGCAAAAGCATGGCGAGGAGCAAATGCTCTTCGCTGAAGATCCCAGCGGAATTCGGTCGACGGACCCGAATTGCCAGGGTCAACGAGGGGGGTCGACGGACAGGGGTCTGACGAGGCGGGCAAGTGACGCGCGTGCGGGCCCGCCAGCCTTGCCCAGGGCTGGGCCGGGCGCACGACCGCCGCCCCGCAACCCCCCCCCCCCGAAAGTGAACAGCGACCCACGTTACCGGGTGGGGGCGGCGAGCTGGCGAGACCTCGGGCGAGGGAAAGTAACCATGCCGCGAAGGCAGCCCACCCCTCTCTCGTGCCCGCGAGGTCCTAGTAACCCATCGCGGCCTGCCCGTACGGGCAGGCGAGGTCCACGCGAAAATCGGGGGCTCCCCTCGGGTCGCTCGACTATTTCGCGACCCGTTGCGGTGACGCCACGTGGTCGCCCATCATTTCGCATCGCATGCATGCGACATTTCGTACCAGCCGAAATTCGAGCGAAAACTGGGTCGTTCGCCCCGGGGCGCACGGTTTTCGCGACCCGCTGCGAAATCGACACGTGGTGCCGAAACGTCGCACCGCGCGCATGTGAAGTTGCGTCCCCTGGCCGACCGAGGCCAGGGGACGTGACGTCGACCTGTTGGCTCGGCGGCGAGGGTGCACTAGTGCCACGCCACTTGTGCATGAGCCCTGCCGAGCCAGGCATCACGGCCCCCTAGGCGACGCTCAACCGGGCCTGCGTGGCTCCGCCTGGCTTTTCTTCGTTGGAGGTGGACTGGCCCCTCATTTTCGCGTTCTCGTTTCTCTTTCATTTTTCCACCCAGCTTGGCGCCTTCCATACTCCCACCGTTTCTTCCCTTAGCCTGTAGCATAGCACCCTCGCTCTCCCGCCATGGCGGCTGGCCAGAAAGCCGCCGAAGCGACGCCGACCTCGCTAGATTTCCCCCTGCATCTAGACATCGGTAGAGGACACACGGCCAAGTTCGAAGAGCACGACTACGCCGTTCTGACAAACCCTATGCTAGCGTTTAACGCCCGTTGCTTGGGTCTCGGTCTCAAGTGAGTGTCTTATGGAGATGTCGTCGTCGACGGGCCTATTCCATGCTGGTCGGCCCTAGCGGGGATTCAATTCGTCCAGTAGTTTATGTCGACGGGCTTAGAGTTCAGGTAGATCACATCGGTGACGCCGACGTAATGCGTTAGGTCGTCGTCGACGCTGAGTTGTGCCGAAATCGTTCGGCTCCTGTCATTCCACCGTCGTGCCGCGCACCTATACCTCTCTAACTTGTTGTAACCATGCATGCGTGCAGGCACGCATGGATCCGCTCAACGGATGCAGGCGAGCGATTGTGGTCGAAAGGAGTCGGCCGGCTTCGGGCGGCGATGGGTCAGGACGACCACACATGCTTTGCGACGGTTTTCGATGCCGACGTGGCGGTTATCCCGCTGATATCGAGGTGAGCAGGTTCGAGGTCCTGTTGTGTGCTGCAAACTGTGTCGGTGATTTGTTCTGAGCGCCATCGACGTGCCTTGTCTGTGCAGCATCGCACCGCTTCCGGGAGCACATTGCAGCATCGTTCTCATCATGTGCCCCGGCAATTTGTTCAATGCCTCGGGGCAGGAGGTCAGGACCTCGATCCGGCACGCCGACTCGCAGACAGTGAAGGAGTGGCACCGCGACGAGGCGATCCGCGTGCGGAAGTGAGCTCGATAGTTTAGTCGACATCACATACATTGTCGACACGGAGCGTGCACCGTGCTAACCGACCGTCCTTGCCGTGCTTTTGCAGGTTTTTCCGGACCGCTGTTCTTGCCGAGCTGCGGCCCAAGGGTAGGAAATGGGAGTGGGCGAAGCCGTCCGAAGACGAGGTGCAGGCGAGGCTCGCCGACTGCGACGAAACCCTTCGAGATGTGAGTTCCGGACGATTCGCCGTCATATGGTGTCACATCTACGCCGCCCTAATCCTTGCGCTCTGCACTGTTGTATCCAGAAAGTTCCCGATACCATCCGGGGCTCGGACGCGGGCTCCGGCCTGCTAGCAATGAGCGCGTTGATCTGGGTTGTGAGGCGGTTCCAGCGCCTGACCGGCGACCTCCGTCGCATTGCCACAAGCATGGACAAGCCCACCGTCTCGGGGTTGAAGGCGCTGCGGAACGAGATGGTAGCCCTCATCAAGAAGCAAGTCCCGCTCATACGGTCGGGGAAAACCGTTGTTGCTGCCGACGCCTGTGACGACGACGGCGAGGAAGTCCATTCTGCATCCGCACCAGTAGGGGTCGCCCCGAACGTCGCTGATGCGCGTGGCAAGTCGGGAGTCGGCGTCGACGAGGCCGATGCGGCCGCAGGAAAGGGGGTGACCGGGACCGAGGTTGTTCACGGGGATGATGATGGGGTCCAGGATCGCGAGGAGGAACGTGAGGGTGAGGGGGGCTCGGAGGAGTCGTCGGGGTCGATGTCGGGGTCGAGGTCGGGGTCGGGGTCAGGGTCGGGGTCGGGGTCGGAGTCGGAGGAGGAGCAGGAGCAGGAGCAGGAGACGCAGGAGCACGAGAGGCAGCACGAGGAGGAGCAGCTGGTAGAGGTGGAGGACGTGGAAATGGCGGAGGGGTACGTTGTTGGAGGAGCGGAGGAAACGGGTGGGAGATCGGCGGATGTCGAGAACGACGAAGGGGAGGGGAAGGGTGCGACAGCGGATCTCGGCGAGGTCGGCGTGGAGGCGGCTCACGGAGATGGTGGCATGGTCGAGGTCGGTGAAGGGGATAACGCCGCGGTCCCGAAGCAGAGGGACGTGGATGTGCATACCGATGCCACCGCGGAGAAGGCCGGGGGGGAGCGGTCTAGGAGGAAGAAGGCGGCGAGCGGTCATCCCGGTTCCACCGCGGCTGGGCGGCAGGCGCGGCTGGACGTCGTCGATCAGCTGAGAGCGGAGAACAGGCGATTGCGTGCAGACAATGCACGCCTTGAACGGCGGCTCGGTGAGCAGACGGGGCGTGTCGACAGCTTGGCGGCGGCTTTAGCTGGGCTCCTCGAGAAGGTGAAGGGTTTGACCGCCCAGGTCGCCGACACCGACCGGAAATCGGAGGAGCGCCTCAAAGAGGCCACGTCGACCATGGCGACCACAATCACCAAGGGCCTGACCGACAACATGGACAACGCAATTCAATCGGCCAAGTCCTTCGCCGAGCTAGCGAGGCAGATGCTGCTGGATCTTGACGACCCCAAGGGACGAGCGGCGGTCGCACGCGCGACCGCGGTGAAGACATTGACCGAGCACGTGACGGCTGAGGTGGGCGAGGCGAGGAAGGGGTTGGAGGAGTCGTTCATAAAATACATCAGCGCCGCGCAAACCAACATTGCCGCCGCCGTCTCGCCCCTCCTAGTCCAGCCGCCGCCGCCGACCGCCCCAGCGCAGGCCTTGCCGGAAGATTTCCTGAAGTCTTTCAAGGAGGACGTGCTGAAGGTGGTGACGGAGACCACGCAGCAGTCCTTTCTCGCCTCCCGACTGAAGATAATGACCGAGGTAGTCGGCACAGTGGCGACTGCTCGGCGTGGGTCGTCGCCGTCGGCAAACGACGCCGGCCAAGCGCAACCTATGGAGGGCTTGAAGCTGGGTCACAAGAGGGGGGGAGGCGGCGGGGGGGGCGACGGGGACAATTCGGCGAACACGAAGCGGAGCAAGGGAGGCGGGGGGTCTCGCGTCACCGGCGACGGGAGCAAGGGGGGCGGAGAAGGAGGCGGCGGGGGGGGGGGGGACGTAGACGATTCGGCGGGCGCGAGGCGGACCAAGGGAGCGGTTGGTTCTCGCATCGCAGGCGATGGGAGCATGGGAGCCGGCGACGTCAGTTCGGGGAAGCAGTCGGGGAAGAGCGTGGTCGACATCCTCAGGAAGCACTGGGCTCAGGTTGGAGCGGCCAGCACGTGCCATGGTGGTGGGGGTCCCGCCGACGAGCATGCCACTGATGACGCACTGCCAATGGCTCCGCCTTCGGTCGGCGTTAAGCCACCACGACAGGGTAGCGGTGACAAGGAGAAGGAGAAGGCCGCCGCCAAAACGGCCCCAGGCGGGTCCGGGAAAGCTGGCCAGGGCCCGAAGACAGGGGTTGCGGAGGCGTCAGCGGTTCCTCACCAGTCTCCCGCGGGTGCACGCCATCCGACCGGACCGTCTGCGGGGCGACCTGCCGACGTCCCGCGCCATGCCGACGTACCGTCTGCCGACAAGGTTGGCCGCGCGGGAAAAGGGGCGGCAGTTGCGGACGCGCTCAAGGAGCACCTCATGCTCCTAGCCGGCCACAGGGCTGTTCAACTACCCCCCCCTGCTGTCGACGTCCCATCGGCGAGTGTGCCACGTGTAGTGCCGGTCGTCGCCGCCCGTACTCCTGCAGACCCAAAGTCCGCGTTGCTGCGCGCCCAGCTGGGCGCACTAGCGTTGACTGCGAGGACTCAGCAGGCTTCTGGCTCTGGCGCTAAGCCGTCGTCGGCGAATGTCGCACCACCCACCCATGTGGCAGCTGATGTGGAGAAGACGGCGGAGAAGGGCGTTCGTGCCGCGCTTGCCACCGGCGGCGGCGCCGTTGAGGAGGTCCCCGCAGACGCTTATATCGCTGCCATACAGGCCCATCTGGATGCAGCCAATCCCCGAACCCTGGCCATCTCCGACACGGCACATGTGGAGCCTTCGGCGGGACTCGTCGGCATCGCGGCAGAGCCTAGTGTGACCGGTGATGCGGTCGGTGAAGGAAAGTCGAAACGGAAGGGGATGGCGGGCTCACAGAGGAAGACGCGGGAGAAGTCGGAGGTGAAGGCGGCGGATAAACAGAAGGGGATGGCGGCAGAGACGGCGGCGGACAAAGATGGAGGCGGCATTGCGGAGGTTGAAGGGAAAGGGGAGAATCAGGAGAAGTTGCCCGGCGAGGGTACATCGACGGGGAGGAAGGGGAAGGACAAGTCGGTCGGAGAAGGTGGGTCGACCGGGAGAAAGGGGAAGGAGAAGGCGGTCGGCGAGGGTTCCTCGAAGGGGAGAAAGGGAAAGAGGAAGGCAGAGGAGGAGGATGAGGATGTCGAGGAGGTGGAGGAGGTCGAGCAGGAGGAAGAGGAGGAGGAGGAGGAGGAGGAGGAGGAGGAGGAGGAGGAGGAGGAGGAGGAGGAGGAGGAGGAGGAGGAGGAGGAGGGGAAGGGCAAGGAGAGGAGGGGTCATGGCATCCGACACGATACCTCGAGCGACAAGCAAGGGTGGGTCGGCGAGATTAAGGTGCACGGCATCAATCGATACATCGGCAAGTCGTGGGACAAGATGGAGCTCGCGTACGTTCACTCCATCGCGTACGTCATCTACGACGGTTTCGTGAGCAAGGTGCTCATGACCGAGCTCACTGGCTTGGACAACGCCGAATTGGAGAGGTGGAAGGAGGTGTGGGAGGAGGTCAAGATCTTGCCGACAGGGATGTGGACGGTGATGTGGGCCCGGGGTACGCTCCTTCCAAAGACACGGTAAGTCGGCAATCCTCCGATCCAAAGTCGATGTCGTTGTCGTTGTCACTAATGTTTGCCCTGTTTGTGGTGGCGTGACAGGCTGACTGAGATCCTCGACGCGTATCGCCATTACAAGTCCACAGGCGATGGTCTCCACGCCGCGCTCATGCCAGCGATATGGTACCCAGTCGATGCTAGCACCGAGGAAGGCTAGGAGAAGTCGGCGTCCATGCTGTCGGCGATGATAGGCCGGGTGTCAATGTGCGCTGCGTATGGGAAGACCGCTGCGGCAGCGGCGAAGAAGGAGGGAGACAAGGAGGAGAGGACGGATATGGCGGCATGGGTGTTAGCAGCATCCGCATGCGCTGTGTGGTGCTTCGTCGAGAACGGCGATGCCCAGCTGGCGGATGCTGTGGAAGAAGGGAAGTCGGCGGCGATCATCGGCGGAGCGAGCCAGGCGACCGCCGATGTATTTGGAAAAGTCATGGAGGCGGTGCTGAACGCCGAGATGAACAGGGACCGCCCCCTGGGAGAGGTTGCTTACAACGTCGCGCCAGCGCTCCAGAGGACCGCCCTTGATAGGGTCTATCCGGGGGGGAATGCTGGAGTAGATGCCGACGTTATCGCTAGAGCGACGGTTGAGACGATGGCGTTTTGGGGAATGTGCCCCGTCGCCGGGCCGAAACTAAGAGCGAGGGACATCGCGGTGCCGATTGACGCGCAGATGAAGGCCGATCTTGACAACAGGGGGAGGAAGGGTCTGAGGGGCAAGAAGGGGACGAAGGCCAAGGGCGGCACGGGGAAGAAGGGCAAGAAGGCGAAGAAGGACAGCACGACGGCCTAGTCAACGGCTTGCTAAGATTGAGTGCTGCGTGGACTCGGTGCTGCTATGGTCGATATCGTTTTGTTTGTTTCGGCTGTTGGATCCATTTGATGCTCGCTGTTTGTGTTTCTTTGTGTGCGTGCCTGTCTACTTTACGTAGGATGAGTAATGAACACATTAGCTGGTAATGATTGTCTACTTCAGTTAGAACGACACGTGAATGCGCCGCTAGGCCAAGAACAACAGGATCATTGCGAAAAACAAAAAGTCGACATCAGTATCAGTATGAAACATAGGCATGCTGCATCAACATCTACAACATGCAACAACCCACAGTAGCAGGAGGCGTAGGAACATTCACGCGGTCTTCTTGCTCTTGGTCGACTGATTGGTCGGAGGCAGCTGCCCGGCGTCGTTTTCGCGTGCCAGGTCGGCCAACGTCTTCTTCATCTGCTCAATCCAGGTGTCCGGGAATAGGTCGGCGACCCACGTTTCGGGCTTGAACCCGCGCGCCACGAACGCACAGGCGACACGAAGCTTGGAGACTTCCGTCTTGCCCAGCCTTTGACGCCCTTACCCTGCCCGGCATAGGTCGCTACGGCGTCCGCGTTGAGCACCGTGAGGGCATCCGTGAAGGTCCCAATGCCAGGCGCCGCTATCTTGTTAAGCGCGTTGACGGTGGCTTCCGTGTCGGCTTCGCCGTCGCTCCTGCGAAGCTGGCGCACCGCATCGATGACCTTCATCATGCGGCGCACCCTCTTCCCGTGTGCTCCCTGCGAGGCCCCGTCGAGGAGGTGTGGCGGTCGACGAATCCCGGCTCCCTGAACCTGTCGCACAGACGACGAGTGTCGGCGCTGGTGCACGAGGTCCAGAGGCGCCATGCGTCCTTGACGGTCGTTGCAGTCCGCCAAGGCTGCACTACGTTCAGCTCGTAGCTAGCCTCCTCGACCGTCTGTGGGGATTTATTGGGTTTGTTGGCTCCACCCCTGCTTGCTGACTCCGCGGAGCCACCGTCGCTCGGCGACTGGTCGTTCGCAGCTGGCGGCGCCTCCGGCATCCTTCGAGCTTCTGAAACGCGGAGAGCCTCGGTGAGGCGGGTTATCTCGGCCCCGAGCGACGCGATGGTTGCGTCGCGATTCTCGATCCTCTCCTCGAGGTCGAGCTTCTGGACCGTTGACCGCTCCCTCTCGAGCTTAAGCGTCTCCGTGAGGGAGACGACCGCGTACTGGGCGTCATGGCGGACCGATATCTCCTGCAATGGTAGGCGAATAACGGTGCAGATGAGGGGTTGTAGCGGTCATAGAGCACATCGCGACGTCGACATAAAGGATGACCTACCTCTGGCTGGATGAGGGTTGGATCTTGCCGCCTTTTGATGGTGTCGGTGTCGGTCTTCTCGACCCTCTTCGCCCAGTGCTGGAAGAGGGGAATCCAGCAGAGCTTGGAATACTGGATGTACGTGTGCCAAGGGGTGCGGACGAGTTTCACCGCGAGGTCCTCGGCGACAATGCGGCGGAACATCACAAGGGTGCGCCAAAAATGCACGGCCGCAATGTCGGCGTTGGACCCCTTCTTCGCGAGTTTTTCTGCCTGCAGTTAGACATCAGACGTGGGTTATTGCCGTGGTGGATAGGACAGTACCATGCAAGATTGGTCGGCACCGATAAACATACCTTCTTGAGAAGGTCGTCGACGCCGGGGAAGATGTGCTCGGCGATGAGAGCGAGGAGTTCGTCTCCCGGTTCCACCCTGCTGCGACCCAAGAAGTAGTCTTGCGTGAATCCCGAATAGCCAGCCTTCTTCATCACCACGCGGACGGGAATGGATGTGATGCAGGCTCGAGTCATCTTGTCGAGAGCCCAGAGACCCAGCTCGGCTATCTCGGCGCGAGGCGTACCGTGGATGGCCAGCTCCTGCGCCCCGCCTGCCCGAGCGGCATGGACGTTCCGCTTGCAGAACACCCCGTTCGTCTTCCACATCTGCCTCGTCCATCGCTGGTGGCTGGGAGCTGAGAGTTCGCCCTGCTCGGGGTCGTTGCGGGCGAAGAACAGGTGCTTCTTGTACCAGAGCTCGCGTGTGCTGGTGTCGACCGGCGGAATGAGGTCGACGCCGTGAAACTGGCCGATCTGGTCGAGGACGAAGTGTAACCACAGCCCGGTCTCGCCGACGGCGCACAACTCCGCTTCGAGGTGCCTCGCCGCGTAGCTCTGTTGAAGACGCGCATCCTTCGACGTCTTCGAGTTACGCGCGGCGACCACCATGACGACCGGCTGGTTATCAGGGTTCACCGACGAGGTGCTCGCCAGTCGGTACAGGAAGATGTCGGGGAGCATTATCTCGCGGATGCTTGCACCGCGCATGAGGCTGTGGTGGGAGAGCAGCGTGAGCACCTTGACGAGAAGAAACCTCCACAGCGTCTGCGAAGGTGTGGTGAAATGCGGGCTCCATGTCGACGCCGCCCAAGCCGGCACCACCCTCGTCATGATATGGCGGAACTGTTCGGCGGTGTATGTGTCGCCGATGGTGCCGCGTCGACGGTCGGCGCAATTACTGTCGACATAACAATATAGGGACCTTAATATTAGGGCGAGGAACACAATGGCGACATAACACGGCGATGCATGCCAACTTACTTGATGTCCCTCTGATTTTTGGTGCGGACCATGACCCGCACCTCCGACCGGACCACCGAGATTTCCCGCATGATGCCCAACTCCCTCTCCTTGTAGATCGTCGCCTCCACCCTCGCCGCCATCTGGCAGGCCTTGATGCGGCCGAGGATCATGTGCACCGTGTAGGCTTGCACTGGCGCGTTCGTTTCGGCGTCGATCTTGTACTCCCGCCTCATGAACTTGATGTAGGCGCGCAGCCGCGTACTAGTGACCCGAGGGCCGTGCAGCCATATGTGCTTCCGCTTGACCACCTTCTCGTTGTCCCAATCCTTGCTCTTGTTGTTGTGTGTCCAGTGCCCTATCTCGTCGACGTGCCTCGTTTGTTCTGCTGTCGGCAGTTTGTCGCCTATTTTTTTAAGCATCTCTGCCGCCCACCTTTTGTAGTCATATATCCATGAGGTGTAGGACTTGAGCGTGCTCTTGGCCTCTATGGTTTTCAGGTGGCGCATTGCCTCCATCACTAGCACGTCGACGCACGCGTACACCATATCTTCCTCTACGAAGTCGGCCGCCTTCCACATTTCTCGAGGGACCGACGTGTGCAGCAGATCCTCAAGCTCGTCCTCGTCCAGAAGTTCCTCTATGAACGCACGTTCCCCCCTGAGTTTTTCTTCCAACGTGCGCGGACCAGTGCCTCGTCGGGGCCGCGGGTCGTCTTCGTCGTCCTCGTCGCTCGCCGATGAATAATCTTCCTCATCCTGGTCGCCTGATCCGTCCGGCACATGCGACGGCCCGGCCTCCCCTGCATCCGTCGGCGTCGACGTTTTGCGTGGTTTCGTGAACTCCCCTATGGGCGCGGGCGGAACGTCTTTGGTGAACTCTCCCTGCGGGATTTGGGCCAGGGCGTCGAGATCGTAAAGCAGCGGCAAAGTCGACGAGGGGTTACTGGTCGGTGTATGGTCTACCGGGCGGACATCCTCACCCTGGCTAGCGGGGTTCGGAACGTCCGTCATGTCGACATCGGCGGGCGGTGGGTTGATTTGCGGCGGTGTCGATCGAGGCTGTCCTCTGGCCATGATACGGCGACCTAGGGTCTGGCGATGGGAAGTCGGCGTGGTGAGGTCGATAAACTACTAGTTGCTTAATCTACGTCGGCGGTATGAGGCAGGTCGGCACAGCAGACAATCCTACGAGACGTCGGCGACCACGTCTGGCTACTCTGACGACGCCGACGTTACGCGTCCAGGAAAAATCTAAGTGCCAGCCGTCAAGTCAATGGTAAAAAAAAAGCTAAGTGCCAGCTTACGGATGGAACGCACACAGAATTGCATGCAGAATGAGCGACCATTACGGGGACCACGGATGGGTATGGTCGTGAGCGACTCCGCACCACTTGGCGCTCCACGCAAACCCCAGTGCAGGACGCCGCCATGCATGTACGCTCGTTCTGCGGCGCCGTGTCCAACGTGCGACCAGGCGTGCATGGCTGCTTGCTTGACGCTCTTCGCTCATCGTGCTCTTTTCGTGGCTGCTACACGGTGGCTCTTTCGTGCGGGACGTGGCGTGGTCCCGAATTAGGTGCAGCGCGGTAGCTCGAGGGCGGGAGACACTGCCGAGTGGCACCACGCTGATGCTCTTCTGGTCGACGCCGACATTCCCACAGCCTCAGTGTCCACTGCACTTAGCCATTGATAGTGGACGGCCGGATTTCGCCTTGCGCATATGGGCAACCGTTGGAAGAATGCCGTGTGGTATGCACCGACCTTGCCACGTTCCCGCGCGAAAATCTCCCACGCAAAGCACCCCGACCTTCCGTTGGCCCGTCGTGTCCAACCTGGCAGACCTCGGTGGCCCCGCCATCCAGGGGACTATCTCGGGCGTCCCTTTGTGACCGCGTGGCAATCATCGCGGCCCGACTTGCCCGTCTGGGATTCTGACACGCGGCTGAGATGTCCTTCTCGGGATTGTCTCAGCGGAACCCTAGGTCGACAGGTGGTCGACCATCCCGAGGGCTCACCAGCACCTGGCCCAGCCAAATAGGCTGGGCTTTCCACGCGGAGGTCGTCGTGGGGTTGTCGACCCCGAGGAGGGGGGTTGTCCGTTCTGAACTGCGAAAATGGGCGGCAGTTTTCGTCGGCTGAGCTATACTATGCTAAGGGCTTCGCCAGGGTGGTTTATACAGCGCGGTTTGTCAATTCTTGGGAGCAACAAATGCTGAAGATCCCAGCGGAATCAGGTCGACGGACCCGAGTTGCCAGGGTCGACGAGGGGGGTCGACGGACAGGGGTCTGACGAGGCGGGCGAGTGACGCGCGTGCGGGCCCGCCAGCCTGGCCCTGGGCTGGGCCGGGCGCACGACCGCCGCCCCGCAACCACCCCCCCGAGAGTGAACAGCGACCAACGTTACCGGGTGGGGGCGGCGAGCTGGCGAGACCTCGGGCGAGGGGAAGTAACCCTGCCGCGAAGGCAGCCCACCCCTCCCTCGTGCCCGCGAGGCCCTAGTAACCCATCGCGGCCTGCCCGTACGGGCAGGCGAGGTCCACGCGAAAATCGGGGGCTCCCCTCGGGTCGCTCGACTATTTCGCGACCCGTTGCGGTGACGCCACGTGGTCGCCCATCATTTCGCATCGCGTGCATGAGACATTTCGTACCCCCCGAAACTCGAGCGAAAACCTGGGTCCTTCGCCACGGGGCGCACGGCTTTCGCGACCCTCTGCGAAATCGACACGTGGTGCCGAAACGTCGCACCGCGCCCACGCGAAGTTGCGTCCCCTGGCCGACCGAGGCCGGGGCACGTGACGTCGACCTGTTGGCTCGGCGGTGAGGGTGCACTTGTGCCACGCAACTTGTGCACGAGCCCTGCCGAGCCAGGCATCACGGCCCCCTGGGCGACGCTCAACCGGGCCTGCGTGGCTCCGCCTGGCTTTTCTTCGTTGGAGGTGGACTGGCCCCTCATTTTCGCGTTCTCGTTTCTCTTTCATTTTTCCTCCCACCTCGGCGCCTTCCATACTCCCACCGCTTCTTCCCTTAGCCTGTAGCATAGCATCCTCGCTCTCCCGCCATGGCAGCCGGCCAGAAAGCCGCCGAAGCGGCGCCGACCTCGCTAGATTTCCCCCTGCATCTAGACATCGGTAGAGGACACACGGCCAAGTTCGAAGAGCACGACTACGCCGTTCTGACAAACCCTATGCTAGAGTTTAACGCCCGTTGCTTGGGACTCGGTCTCAAGTGAGTGTCTTATGGAGATGTCGTCGTCGACGGGCCTATTCCATGCTGGTCGGCCATGGCGGGGTTTCAATGCGTCCAGTAGTATATGTCGACGGGCTTAGAGTTCAGGCACATCACATCGGTGATGCCGACGTAATGCGTTAGGTCGTCGACGACGCTGAGTTGTGCCGAAGTCGTTCGGCTCCCGTCATTCCACCGTCGTGCCGCGCACCTATACCTCTCTAATCTGTTGTAATCATGCATGCGTGCAGGCACGCATGGATCCGCTCAACGGATGCAGGCGAGCGATTGTGGTCGATAGGAGTCGGCCGGCTTCGGGAGGCAATGGGTCAGGACGACCACACATGCTTTGCGACGATTTTCGACGCCGACGTGGCGGTTATCCCACTGATATCGAGGTGAGCAGGTTCGAGGTCCTGCTGTGTGCTGCAACCTGTGTCGGTGATTTGTTCTGAGCGCCATCGACGTGCCTTGTCTGTGCAGCATCGCACCGCTTCCGGGAGCACATTGCAGCGTCGTTCTCATCCTGTGCCCCGGCGATTTGTTCAATGCCTCGGGGCAGGAGGTCAGGACCTCGATCCGGCACGCCGACCCGCAGACAGTGAAGGAGTGGCACCGCGACGAGGCGATCCGCGTGCTGAAGTGAGCTCGATAGTTTAGTCGACATCGCATACATTGTCGACACGACGCATGCACCGTGCTAACCGACCGTCCTTGCCGTGCTTTTGCAGGTTTTTCCGGACCGCTGTTGTGGCCGAGCTGCGGCGCGAGGGTAGGAAATGGGAGTGGGCGAAGCCGTCCGAAGACGAGGTGCAGGAGAGGCTCGCCGACTGCGACGAACCCCTTCGAGATGTGAGTTCCGGACGATTCGCCGTCATATGGTGTCACATCTACGCCGCCCTCATCCTTGCTCTCTGCACTGTTGTATGCAGAAAATTCCCGATACCGTCCGGGACTCGGACGCGAGCTCCGGCCTGCTAGCAATGAGCGCGTTGATCTGGGTTGTGAGGCGGTTCCAGCGCCTGACCGGCGACCTCCGTCGCATTGCCACCAGCATGGACAAGCCCACCGTCTCGGGGTTGAAGGCGCTGCGGAACGAGATGGTAGCCCTCATCAAGAAGCAAGTCCCGCTCATACGGTCGGGGAAAACCGTTGTTGCTGCCGACGCCTGTGACGACGACGGCGAGGAAGTCCATTCTGCATCCGTGCCAGTAGGGGTCGCCCCGAACGTCGCTGATGCGCGTGGCAAGTCGGGAGTCGGCGTCGACGAGGCCGATGCGGCCGCAGGAAAGGGGGTGACCGGGACCGAGGTTGTTCACGGGGATGATGGGGTCCAGGATCGCGAGGAGGAACGTGAGGGTGAGGGGGGCTCGGAGGAGTCGTCGGGGTCGATGTCGGGGTCGAGGTCGGGGTCGGGATCGGGCTCGGAGTCGGAGTCGGAGGAGGAGCAGGAGCAGGAGACGCAGGAGCACGAGAGGCAGCACCAGGAGGAGCAGTTGGTAGAGGTGGAGGACGTGGAAATGGCGGAGGGGTACGTTGTCGGAGGAGCGGAGGGGTACGTTGTCGGAGGAGCGGAGGAAACGGGTGGGAGATCGGCGGATGTCGAGAACGACGAAGGGGAGGGGAAGGGTGCGACAGCGAATATCGGCGAGGTCGGCGTGGAGGCGGCTCACGGAGGTGGTGGCATGGTCGAGGTCGGTGAAGGGGATAACGCCGCGGTCCCGGAGCAGAGGGGCGTGGATGTGCATACCGATGCCACCGCGGAGAAGGCCGGCGGGGAGCGGTCTAGGAGGAAGAAGGCGGCGAGCGGTCATCCCGGTTCCACCGCGGCTGGGCGGCAGGCGCGGCTGGACGTCGTCGATCAGCTGAGGGCGGAGAACAGGCGATTGCGTGCAGACAATGCACTCCTTGAACGGCGGCTCGGTGAGCAGACGGGGCGGGTCGACAGCTTGGCGGCGGCATTAGCTGGGCTCCTCGAGAAGGTGAAGGGTTTGACCGCCCAGGTCGCCGACACCGACCGGAAATCGGAGGAGCGCCTCAAAGAGGCCACGTCGACCATGGCGACCACAATCACCGAGGGCCTCACCGACAACATGGACAGCGCCATTCAATCGGCCAAGTCCTTCGCCGAGCTAGCGAGGCAGACGCTGCTGGATCTTGACGACCCCAAGGGACGAGCGGCGGTCGCACGCGCGACCGCGGTGAAGACAGTGACCGAGCACGTGACGGCGGAGGTGGGCGAGGCGAGGAAGGGGTTGGAGGAGTCGTTCATCAAATACATCGGCGCCGCGCAGACCAACATTGCCGCCGCCGTCGCGCCCCGCCTAGTCCAGCCGCCGCCGCCTACCGGCCCAGCGCAGGCCTTGCCGGAAGATTTCCTGAAGTCTTTCAAGGAGGACGTGCTGAAGGCGGTGACGGAGACCACGCAGCAGTCCTTCCTTGCCTCCGGACTGAAGATAATGGCCGAGGTCGTCGGCACGGTGGCGTATGCTCGGCGTGGGTCGTCGCCGTCGGCAAACGACGCCGGCCAAGCGCAACCTACGGAGGGCTTGAAGCTGGGTCACAAGAGGCGGGGAGGCGGCGGGGGGGGCGACGGGGACAATTCGGCGAACACGAAGCGGAGCAAGGGAGGCGGGGGGTCTGGCGGCGGGGGGGGGGGACGGAGACGATTCGGCGGGCGCGAGGCGGACCAAGGGAGCGGCTGGTTCTCGCGTCGCCGGCGATGGGAGCATGGGAGCCGGCGACGGCAGTTCGTTGAAGCAGTCGGGGAAGAGCGTGGTCGACATCCTCAGGAAGCACTGGGCTCAGGTTGGAGCGGCCAGCACGGGCCATGGTGGTGGGGGTCCCGCCGACGAGCATGCCACTGATGACGCACTGCCAATGGCTCCGCCTTCGGTCGGCGTTAAGCCACCACGACAGGGTAGCGGTGTGAAAGGCCTGCGCGACAAGGAGAAGGCCGCCGCCAAAACGGCCCCAGGCGGGTCCGCGAAAGCTGGCCAGGGCCCGAAGACAGGGGTTGAGGAGGCGTCAGCGGTTCCTCACCAGTCTCCCGCGGGTGCACGCCATCCGACCGGACCGTCTGCCGGGCGACCTACCGACGTCCCGCGCCATGCCGACGTACCGTCTGCCGACAAGGTTGGCCGCGCGGGAAAAGGGGCGGCAGTTGCGGACGCGCTCAAGGAGCAGCTCAGGCTCCTAGCCGGCCACAGGGCTGTTCAACAGGCCCCCCCTGCTGTCGACGTCCCATCGGCCAGTGGGCCACGTGTAGTGCCGGTCGTCGCCGCCCGTACTCCTGCAGACCCAAAGTCCGCGTTGTTGCGCGCCCAGCTGGGCGCACTAGCGTCGTTTGAGAGGACTCAGCAGGCTTCTGGCTCTGGCTCTAAGCCGTCGTCGGCGAATGTCGCACCACCCACCCATGGGGCAGCTGATGTGGAGAAGGCGGCGGAGAAGGGCGTTCGTGCCGCGCTTGCCACCGGCGGCGGCGCCGTTGAGGAGGTCCCCGCAGACGCTGATATCGCTGCCATACAGGCCCATCTGGATGCAGCCAATCCCCGAACCCTGGCCATCTCCGACACGGAACATGTGGAGCCTTCGGCGGGACTCGTCGGCATCGCGGCAGAGCCTAGTGCGACCGGTGATGCGGTCGGTGAGGGAAAGTCGAAACGGAAGGGGAAGGCGGGCTCACAGAGGAAGACGCGGGAGAAGTCGGAGGTGAAGGCGGCGGATAAACAGAAGGGGATGGCGGCGGAGATGGCGGCGGACAAAGATCGAGGCGGCATTGGGGAGGTTGAAGGGAAAGGGGAGAATCAGGAGAAGTCGCCCGGCGAGGGTACGTCGACGGGGAGGAAGGGGAAGGACAAGTCGGTCGGAGAAGGTGCGTCGACCGGGAGAAAGGGGAAGGAGAAGGCGGTCGGCGAGGGTTCCTCGAAGGGGAGAAAGGGAAAGAGGAAGGCGGAGGAGGAGGATGAGGATGTCGAGGAGGTGGAGGAGGTCGAGCAGGAGGAAGAGGAGGAGGAGGAGGAGGAGGAGGAGGAGGAGGAGGGGAAGGGCAAGGAGAGGAGGGGTCATGGCATCCGACACGATACCTCGGGCGACAAGCAAGGGTGGGTCGGCGAGATTAAGGTGCACGGCATCAATCGATACATCGGCAAGTCGCGGGACAAGATGGAGCTCGCGTACGTTCACTCCATCGCGTACGTCGTCTACGACGGTTTCGTGAGCAAGGTGCTCATGACCGAGCTCACCGGCTTGGACAGCGCCGAATTGGAGAGGTGGAAGGAGGTGTGGGAGGAGGTCAGGATCTTGCCGACAGGGATGTGGACGGTGATGTGGGCCCGGGGTACGCTCCTTCCAAAGACACGGTAAGTCGGCAATCCTCCGATTCAAAGTCGATGTCGTTGTCGTTGTCACTCATGTTCGCCCTGTTTGTGGTGGCGTGACAGGCTGACGGAGATCCTCGACGCGTATCGCCATTACAAGTCCACAGGCGATTGTCTCCACGCCGCGCTCCTGCCAGCGATATGGTACCCAGTCGATGCTAGCACCGAGGAAGGCCGGGAGAAGTCGGCGTCCATGATGTCGGCGATGATAGGCCGCGTGTGAATGTGCGCTGCATATGGGAAGACCGCTACGGCAGCGGCGAAGAAGGAGGGAGACAAGGAGGAGAAGACGGATATGGCGGCATGGGCGTTAGCAGCATCCGCATGCGCTGTGTGGTGCTTCGTCGAGAACGGCGATGCCCAGCTGGCGGATGCTGTGGAAGAAGGGAAGTCGGCGGCGATCATCGGCGGAGCGAGCCAGGCGACCGCCGATGTATTCGGAAAAGTCATGGAGGCGGTGCTGAAAGCCGAGATGAACAGGGACCGCCCCTTGGGAGAGGTTGCCTACAACGTCGCGCCAGCACTCCAGAGGACCGCCCTTGATACGGTATATCCGGGGGGGAATGCTGGAGTAGATGCCGACGTTATCGCTAGAGCGACGGTTGAGACGATGGCGTTTTGGGGAATGTGCCCCGTCGCCGGGCCGAAACTAAGAGCGAGGGACATCGCGGTGCCGATTGACGCGCAGATGAAGGCCGATCTTGACAACAGGGGGAGGAAGGGTCTGAGGGGCAAGAAGGGGACGAAGACCAAGGGCGGCACGGAGAAGGTCAAGAAGTCGAAGAAGGACAGCACGACGGCCTAGTCGACGGCATGCTAAGATTCAGTGCTGCGTGGACTCGATGATGAAATGGTCGATACCATTTTCCTTGTTTTGGCTGTCGGATCCCTTTGATGCTCTTTCTTTGTGCGTGCCTGTCTACTTTACGTAGGATGAGTAATGAACACATTAGCTAGTAATGATTGTCTACTTCAGTTTGAACGACACGTGAATGCCCCGCTAGGCCGAGAACAACAGGATCATTGAGAGAAACAAAAAGTCGACATCAGTATCAGTATGAAACATAGGCATGCTGCATCAACATCTACAACATGCAACAGGCCACAGTAGCAGGAGGCCTGGGAACATTCAAGCGGTTTTCTTCCGCTTGGTCGTCTTATTGGTCGGAGGCAGCTGCCCGGCGTCGTTTTCGCGGGCCAGGTCGGCCAACGTCTTCTTCATCTGCTCAACCCAGGTGTCCGGGAACAGGTCGGCGACCCACGTTTCGGGCTTGAGCCCGCGCGCCACGAACGCACAGGCGACACGAAGCTTGGAAAATTCCGTCTTGCCGAGCCCTTTGACGCCCTTACCCTGCCCAGCATAGGTCGCTACGGCGTCCGCGTTGAGCACCGTGAGGGCATCCGCGAAGGTCCCAATGCCAGGCGCCGCTATCTTGTTAAGCGCGTCGACGGTGGCTTCCGTGTCGGCTTCGCCGTCGCTCCTGCGAAGCTGGCGCACCGCATCGATGACCTTCATCATGCGGCGCACCCTCTTCCCGTGCGCTCCCTGCGAGGCTCCGTCGAGGAGGGTGTGGCGGTCGACGAATCCCGGCTCCCTGAACCTGTCGCATAGACGACGGGTGTCGGCGCTGGTGCACGAGGTCCAGAGGCGCCACGCGTCCTTGACGGTCGTTGCAGTCCGCCAAGGCTGCACTACGTTCAGCTCGTAGGTAGCCTCCTCGACCGTCTGTGGGGGTTTATTGGGTTTGTTGGCTCCTCCACCCCTGCTTGCCGACTCCGCGGAGCCACCGTCGCTCGGCGACTGGTCGTTAGCAGCTGGCGGCGCCTCCGGCATCCTTCGAGCTTCTGAAACGCGGAGAGCCTCGGTGAGGCGTGTTATCTCGGCCGCGAGCGACGCGATGGTTGCGTTGCGATTCTCGATCTTCTCCTCGAGGTCGAGCTTCTGGACCGTTGACCGCTCCCTCTCGAGCTTAAGCGTCTCCGTGAGGGAGACGACCGCGAACTGGGCGTCATGGCGGACCGATATCTCCTGCAATGGTAGGCGAATAACGGTGCAGATGAGGGGTTGTAGCGGTCATAGATAACATCACGACGTCGGCATAAAAGATGACCTACCTCTGGCTGGATGAGGGTTGGATCTTGCCGCTTTTTTATGGTGTCGGTGTCGGTATTCTCGACCCTCTTCGCCCAGTGCTGGAAGAGGGGAATCCGGCAGAGCTTGGAATACTGGATGTACGGGTGCCAAGGGGTGCGGACGAGTTTCAACGCGAGGTCCTCGGCGACAATGCGGCGGAACATCAGAAGGGTGCGCCAGAAATGCACGGCCGCAACGTCGGCGTCGGACCCCTTCTTCGCGAGTTCTTCTGCCTGCAGTTAGACATCAGACGGGGGTTATTTCCATGGTGGATAGGACAGTACCATGCAAGATTGGTCGGCACCGATAAACAAACCTTGTTGAGGAGGTCGTCGACGTCGGGGAAGATGTGCTCGGCGATGAGAGCGAGGAGTTCGTCTCCCGGTTCCACCCTACTGCGACCCAAGAAGTAGTCCTGCGTGAATCCCGAATAGCCGGCCTTCTTCATCACCACGCCGACGGGAATGGACGTGATGTAGGCTCGAGTCATCTTGTCGAGAGCCCAGTGACCCAGCTCGGCTATCTCGGCGCGAGGCGTACCTTGGATGGCCAACTCCTGCGCCCCGCCCGCCCGAGCGGCATGGACGTTCCGCTTGCAGAACACCCCGTTCGTCTTCCACATCTGCCTCGTCCATCGCTGGTGGCTGGGAGCTGAGAGTTCGCCCTGCTCGGGGTCGTTGCGGGCGAAGAACAGGTGCTTCTTGTACCAGAGCTCGCGTGTGCTGGTGTCGACCGGCGGAATGAGGTCGACTCCGTGAAACTGGCCGATCTGGTCGAGGACGAAGTGTAACCACAGCCCGGTCTCGCCGACGGCGCACAACTCCGCTTCTAGGTGCCGCGCCGCGTAGCTCTGTTGAAGACGCGCATCCTTCGACGTCTTCGAGTTCCGCGCGGCGACCACCATGACGACCGGCTGGTTATCCGGGTTCACCGACGAGGTGCTCGCCAGTCGGTACAGGAAGATGTCGGGGAGCGTTATCTCGCGTATGCTTGCACCGCGCATGAGGCTGTGGTGGGAGAGCAGCGTGAGCACCTTGATGAGAAGAAACCTCCACAGCGTCTGCGAAGGTGTGGTGAAATGCGGGCTCCATGCCGACGCCGCCCAAGCCGGCAGCACCTCGTCATTATCTGGCGGAACTGTTCGGCGGTGTATGTGTCGCCGATGGTGCCGCGTCGACGGTCGGCGCATTTACTGTCGACATAACAATATATGGATATGAATATTAGGGCGAGGAAACAAATCGATGGCGACATAACACGGCGATGCATGCCAACTTACTCGAGGTCCCTCTGATTTTTCGTGCGGACCATGACCCGCACCTCCGACCGGACCACCGAGATTTCCCGCATGATGCCCAACTCCTTCTCCTTGAAGAGCGTCGCCTCCACCCTCGCCGCCATCTGGCAGGCCTTGATGCGGCCGAGGATCATGTGCACCGTGTAGGCTCGCACTGGCTCGTTCGTGTCGGCGTCGATCTTGTACTCCCGCCTCATGAACTTGATGTAGGCGCGCAGTCGCGTACTAGTGACCCGGGGGCCGTGCAGCCATATGTGCTTCCGCTTGACCACCTTCTCGTTGTCCCAATCCTTGCTCTTGTTGTTGTGTGTCCAGTGCCCTATCTCGTCGACGTGCCTCATTTGTTCTGCTGTCGGCAGTTTGTCGCCAATTTTTTTAAGCATCTTCGCCGTCCACCTTTTGTAGTCGTATATCCATGAGGTGTAGGACTTGAGCGTGCTCTTGGCCTCTATGGTTTTCAGGTGGCGCATTCCCTCCATCACGAGCACGTCGACGCACGCGTACACCATATCTTCCTCTACGAAGTCGGCCGCCTTCCACATTTCTCGAGGGACCGACGTGTGCAGCAGATCCTCAAGCTCGTTCTCGTCCAACAGTTCCTCTATGAACGCACGTTCCCCCCTGAGTTTTTCTTCCAACGTGCGCGGACCTGCACCACGTCGGGGCCGCGGGTCGTCTTCGTCGTCCTCGTCGCTCGCCGATGAATAATCGTCCTCATCCTGGTCGCCCGATCCGTCCGGCACAGACGACGGCCCGGCCTCCCCTGCATCCGTCGGCGTCGACGTTTTGCGTGGTTTCGTGAACTCCCCTATCGGCGCGGGCGGAACGTCCTTGGTGAACTCTCCCTGCGGGATTTGGGCCAGGGCGTCGAGATCGTAAAGCAGCGGCAAAGTCGACGAGGGGTTACTGGTCGGTGTACGGTCTACCGGGCGGACGTCCTCATCCTGGCTAGCGGGGTTCATGACGTCCGTCATGTCGACATCGGCGGGGGGTGGGTTGGTTTGCGGCGGTGTCGAACGAGGCTGTCCTCTGGCCATGATACCGCGACCTAGGGCGATGGGAAGTCGGCGTGGTGAGGTCGATAAACTACTTAATGCGTATTCTATGTCGGCGGTATCTGGCAGGTCGGGACAGCAGACAATCCTACGAGAGGTCGGCGACCACGTCTGCCTACTATCACGACGCCGACGTTACGCCTCTAGAGAAATTCCAAGTGCCGGCCGTCAAGTCAGTGGTAAAAAAAAAAAGCAATGGCACACACAATGGCAGGCGGAATGAGCGACCATTTCGGGGACCACGGATGGGGATGGTCGTGAGCGACTCCGCACCACTTGGCGCTCCACGCAAACCCCAGTGCACGACGCCGCCATGCATGTACGCTCGTGCGGCGGCGCCGTGTCCGACGTGCCACCAGGCGTGCATGGCTGCTTGCTTGAAGCGCTTCGCTCATCATGCTCTTTTCGTGGCTGCTACACGCTGGCTCTTTCGTGCGGCAACGTGGCGTGGTCCCGAATTAGGTGCACCTCGGTAGGTCGAGGTCGGGAGACACTGCCGTGTGGCACCACGATGATGCTCTTCTGGTCGACGCCGACAGGTCCCGCATCATCAGTGTCCACTGCACGTAGCCATAGATAGTGGACGGCCGGATTTCTCCTTGCGCATGTGAGCAACCGTTGGATGAATGCCGTGTGGTATGCACCGACATTGCCACGTTCATGCGCGAGATTCTCCCAAGCGAAGCACCCCGACCTTCCGTTGGCCCGTCGTGTCCAACCTGGCAGACCTAGGTGGCCCCGCCATCCAGGGGACTATCTCGGGCGTCCCTTTGTGGCCGCGTGGCGATCATCGCGGCCCGACTTGCCGAGCTGGTATTCTGACACGCGGCTGAGACGTCCTTCTCGGAATTGTCTCAGCGGAACTCTAGGTCGACAGGTGGTCGACCATCCCGAGGGCTCACCAGCACCTGGCCCAGCCAGATAGCCTGGGCTTTCCACGCGGAGGTCGTCGTGGGGTCGTCGACCCCGAGGAGGGGGGTTGTCCGTTCTGAACCGCGAAAATGGGCGGCAGTTTTCGTCGGCTGAGCTATATTATGCTAAACTGCAGAGAGGAAGGGAAAGAAAGCATTCTTTAGGTCGGTCGGTAGGTAGGTACCGTACGAAAATTATTTGTGCCGTTGCTTGTCAGTCAACAGTACATACACGTGATGCGCAGCCAATGCCCGCGCATCTGGTCTGCCCAATCCCGATCGCTTGCCCTTTTGCAGGTAGGGACGGGCAGTTGCCCTCATCTTACAGACCCCCTGGACAAGTGGTTTGGCGAGCGCGGCTCGTCAATTTCGCGACATGGGGATGGGGACAGCATAGTATAGCTCAGCCGACGAAAACTGCCGCCCATTTTCGCGGTTCAGAACGGACAACCCCCTTCCTCGTGGTTGACGACCCCACGACGACCTCCGCGTGGAAAGCCCAGCCTATCTGGCTGGGCCCGGTGCTGGTGAGCCCTCGGGATGGTCGACGACCTGTCGACCTAGAGTTCCGCTGAGACAATCCCGAGAAGGACGTCTCAGCCGCGTGTCAGAATACCAGCTCGGCAAGTCGGGCCGCGATGATCGCCACGCGGCCACAAAGGGACGCCCGAGATAGTCCCCTGGATGGCGGGGCCACCTAGGTCTGCCAGGTTGGACACGACGGGCCAACGGAAGGTCGGGGTGCTTCGCTTGGGAGAATCTCGCGCATGAACGTGGCAATGTCGGTGCATACCACACGGCATTCATCCAACGGTTGCTCACATGCGCAAGGAGAAATCCGGCCGTCCACTATCTATGGCTACGTGCAGTGGACACTGATGATGCGGGACCTGTCGGCGTCGACCAGAAGAGCATCATCGTGGTGCCACACGGCAGTGTCTCCCGACCTCGACCTACCGAGGTGCACCTAATTCGGGACCACGCCACGTTGCCGCACGAAAGAGCCAGCGTGTAGCAGCCACGAAAAGAGCATGATGAGCGAAGCGCTTCAAGCAAGCAGCCATGCACGCCTGGTGGCACGTCGGACACGGCGCCGCCGCACGAGCGTACATGCATGGCGGCGTCGTGCACTGGGGTTTGCGTGGAGCGCCAAGTGGTGCGGAGTCGCTCACGACCATCCCCATCCGTGGTCCCCGAAATGGTCGCTCATTCCGCCTGCCATTGTGTGTGCCATTGCTTTTTTTTTTTTACCACTCACTTGACGGCCGGCACTTGGAATTTCTCTAGAGGCGTAACGTCGGCGTCGTGATAGTAGGCAGACGTGGTCGCCGACCTCTCGTAGGATTGTCTGCTGTCCCGACCTGCCAGATACCGCCGACATAGAATACGCATTAAGTAGTTTATCGACCTCACCACGCCGACTTCCCATCGCCCTAGGTCGCGGTATCATGGCCAGAGGACAGCCTCGTTCGACACCGCCGCAAACCAACCCACCCCCCGCCGATGTCGACATGACGGACGTCATGAACCCCGCTAGCCAGGATGAGGACGTCCGCCCGGTAGACCGTACACCGACCAGTAACCCCTCGTCGACTTTGCCGCTGCTTTACGATCTCGACGCCCTGGCCCAAATCCCGCAGGGAGAGTTCACCAAGGACGTTCCGCCCGCGCCGATAGGGGAGTTCACGAAACCACGCAAAACGTCGACGCCGACGGATGCAGGGGAGGCCGGGCCGTCGTCTGTGCCGGACGGATCGGGCGACCAGGATGAGGACGATTATTCATCGGCGAGCGACGAGGACGACGAAGACGACCCGCGGCCCCGACGTGGTGCAGGTCCGCGCACGTTGGAAGAAAAACTCAGGGGGGAACGTGCGTTCATAGAGGAACTGTTGGACGAGAACGAGCTTGAGGATCTGCTGCACACGTCGGTCCCTCGAGAAATGTGGAAGGCGGCCGACTTCGTAGAGGAAGATATGGTGTACGCGTGCGTCGACGTGCTCGTGATGGAGGGAATGCGCCACCTGAAAACCATAGAGGCCAAGAGCACGCTCAAGTCCTACACCTCATGGATATACGACTACAAAAGGTGGACGGCGAAGATGCTTAAAAAAATTGGTGACAAACTGCCGACAGCAGAACAAATGAGGCACGTCGACGAGATAGGGCACTGGACACACAACAACAAGAGCAAGGATTGGGACAACGAGAAGGTGGTCAAGCGGAAGCACATATGGCTGCACGGCCCCCGGGTCACTAGTACGCGACTGCGCGCCTACATCAAGTTCATGAGGCGGGAGTACAAGATCGACGCCGACACGAACGAGCCAGTGCGAGCCTACACGGTGCACATGATCCTCGGCCGCATCAAGGCCTGCCAGATGGCGGCGAGGGTGGAGGCGACGCTCTTCAAGGAGAAGGAGTTGGGCATCATGCGGGAAATCTCGGTGGTCCGGTCGGAGGTGCGGGTCATGGTCCGCACGAAAAATCAGAGGGACCTCGAGTAAGTTGGCATGCATCGCCGTGTTATCTCGCCATCGATTTGTGTTCCTCGCCCTAATATTCATATCCATATATTGTTATGTCGACAGTAAATGCGCCGACCGTCGACGCGGCACCATCGGCGACACATACACCGCCGAACAGTTCCGCCAGATAATGACGAGGGTGCTGCCGGCTTGGGCGGCGTCGGCATGGAGCCCGCATTTCACCACACCTACGCAGACGCTGTGGAGGTTTCTTCTCATCAAGGTGCTCACGCTGCTCTCCCACCACAGCCTCATGCGCGGTGCAAGCATACGCGAGATAACGCTCCCCGACATCTTCCTGTACCGACTGGCGAGCACCTCGTCGGTGAACCCGGATAACCAGCCGGTCGTCATGGTGGTCGCCGCGCGGAACTCGAAGACGTCGAAGGATGCGCGTCTTCAACAGAGCTACGCGGCGCGGCACCTAGAAGCGGAGTTGTGCGCCGTCGGCGAGACCGGGCTGTGGTTACACTTCGTCCTCGACCAGATCGGCCAGTTTCACGGAGTCGACCTCATTCCGCCGGTCGACACCAGCACACGCGAGCTCTGGTACAAGAAGCACCTGTTCTTCGCCCGCAACGACCCCGAGCAGGGCGAACTCTCAGCTCCCAGCCACCAGCGATGGACGAGGCAGATGTGGAAGACGAACGGGGTGTTCTGCAAGCGGAACGTCCATGCCGCTCGGGCGGGCGGGGCGCAGGAGTTGGCCATCCAAGGTACGCCTCGCGCCGAGATAGCCGAGCTGGGTCACTGGGCTCTCGACAAGATGACTCGAGCCTACATCACGTCCATTCCCGTCGGCGTGGTGATGAAGAAGGCCGGCTATTCGGGATTCACGCAGGACTACTTCTTGGGTCGCAGTAGGGTGGAACCGGGAGACGAACTCCTCGCTCTCATCGCCGAGCACATCTTCCCCGACGTCGACGACCTCCTCAACAAGGTTTGTTTATCGGTGCCGACCAATCTTGCATGGTACTGTCCTATCCACCATGGAAATAACCCCCGTCTGATGTCTAACTGCAGGCAGAAGAACTCGCGAAGAAGGGGTCCGACGCCGACGTTGCGGCCGTGCATTTCTGGCGCACCCTTCTGATGTTCCGCCGCATTGTCGCCGAGGACCTCGCGTTGAAACTCGTCCGCACCCCTTGGCACCCGTACATCCAGTATTCCAAGCTCTGCCGGATTCCCCTCTTCCAGCACTGGGCGAAGAGGGTCGAGAATACCGACACCGACACCATAAAAAAGCGGCAAGATCCAACCCTCATCCAGCCAGAGGTAGGTCATCTTTTATGCCGACGTCGTGATGTTATCTATGACCGCTACAACCCCTCATCTGCACCGTTATTCGCCTACCATTGCAGGAGATATCGGTCCGCCATGACGCCCAGTTCGCGGTCGTCTCCCTCACGGAGACGCTTAAGCTCGAGAGGGAGCGGTCAACGGTCCAGAAGCTCGACCTCGAGGAGAAGATCGAGAATCGCAACGCAACCATCGCGTCGCTCGCGGCCGAGATAACACGCCTCACCGAGGCTCTCCGCGTTTC